TGAGCTATACATGTTTGAAAACATTATTGAGTTTACTTTCCAACGAAATAAGCGAAATTGAATTTTGAGTCTCCTATGTATAAATATGTAATTTTTATTACAAGGTATGTATGCTATCTAGCAGTAGTATATGACGTGAATTGTAAAAATGACTAATATTAATATACAAGGAATTAAAAGATAGGCTATATACGGGTAGAAAGCTTATCAAGTTTAGTTTCTAAAACATTACAGAGATCTTAATTCTGAGTTAGATATTGTGAGATATGGTTGTTTTAGTAAAAAAAGCTCAAGTTGCCAATATTAATTAGTTGAGTTAACCTTTGTATAACTTAGTTGTTTTTAGTATTAATGATCTCAAAAAATATTGATTAATTTCTGATATGTTGAAATAATCTTGAATAGGCTATTAATTATTTTGAGAAAAAAACTAAGTGGTGAAATCAAAAGGAGGTAAGTAGAATCTCGTATATTTTGCTTGTTTTCAAACCTATGTATATATGTATATTTTAAATGAGTGAAAGTTTATTTCTTTATTTTCAATATATAAAATAGGATCAAGCATATAATTATTTTACGTTTTGCTATGTAAATGATGGATCATGCTTATGAATGAAATGAGAAAATAATTTATGTTTAATGAATGATTTTATGATAGCTACATTTTTATATTCTTAGAAAATGGGATCATCAATACTATAACTAGTTTTACGGCCCCAACTAAGATGTTAGAGTAATTAATATAACCATGATTATATGACCTTGCTAATGGGTTATAGTAGTTAGCGTAAACCCTAACTAGCAGCTTATAATAGTTAGCAATTATTATGATGATGAAATTATTGACATATCCAATGTCACGGGTTATAGTAGTGATATAACTAATGATAAACAAATGATAATGATGATTTATGATATTTTTAAGATTGATGCATGATTTAGTTTGTTTATGATATTTGAATGATAGTATATTTTGAAATAATTTATGAATTGATATGTTTGATATTGATTCGTAAGTTTATGAAATGTTTGATAATGATGATTTTTAAAATGTTTTGATATTATGATTTGACGAATGTTTTGAATGATCTATATAGTATTTATGAAAATGATACTTGATCTAATAAAATGTATAAAACTATACTTGCTAAGTTATGGTTTACTCATTCCTCTTTTTCTTTCTCTTTATAGATAAGTAAATGATAAGTTTGGTTAGTCTTATGAGAAACTAAAAGATCAAATTAAAAAGATTACATGGGCATTGAAGATATTGTTGGCTAATGAGATATTATGAAACGATTTTATATTTTATTAATTTGTATTTGGATATATAAAATTTATCATCAATTTATAAAATAAGTTTAGAATGAATAAAAAAAAGCTTCGTATTACTTTAGAATTTTACTTCAAGGTAATATAACTGTGTTGCATCTCGTTTTCGGGATGTGACATAATTGTAACGCCTTCAATCTCACACTAAAAAAATGTGTGGATATGGTATAATATATATGTTGAAATCCAAACCCAAACTTATAAGGCACATGTTTTAGGATAAAACCATGAGATCTTTAGGTCAAAATGGATAATACCTCGTAATTGGATACGGGTCTCCACAACCTGTAAGGTATTGTCTGCTTTTACTCAAAGATCTCACAATTTCGTCTATAAAAATTACCTTAGAGATTTTGATTTAGATCTCTACATATATATCATATCATATCCATAAATTTTTCCAATGTGGGATTGGAGGCGTCACAATCTCTCCATCTTTAAAGCTTGACATCCTTGTCAAGTCAAGTCCAGCCACAGAACCAACATTACATTAAACATTGAGATTCTAAAAGTGGCTCTCCATCGTGTAGTACTTAGTGATTCTCATGGTCCTACGTTATATCACTTAGTAACTCTCATGATACAGCACTTGGTTCCTATCAATTGATGACCGCTTTGATACCATTTGTGGAGATCCGCACCCAACCTATGAGATATTATCTATTTTCACTCGAAGGTCTCACGATTTTGTCCCATAAAAAGTGCCTCATGGATTTGGATTTAGATTTCTACATATATACTATATCATATCCATGTATTCTTCAAGTGTAAGATTAGAGGCATCACAACAATAACTCCAAATATGCTATAAGGTGGCTTATATACACTAAAAATTTTCCTAGTTTAGTAAAATATTAGGTAGTGATTGGTTTAAAAAAATATAATTGTTTTCTTATTTATTTTATAAAAAATAAAAAATATAGGTGAAAACATGTTTGGTTGAAAATATAAAAAATAATTTATGGAAAATATGAATGAAAATGGGTCAAAATTAGACAAAAATATATATGTTTTAAGCATTTTCAAAAAAAAAAAAACATAAAGAACAATTGGAAAATGAGAAAACACAAGTTCTTTAAAAAAATTTTAACTGTTTAATTATTGTAAAGCTAAAGATTACCATTAAATCAAGAAAAGTGAGGATGAAAATTACCTCTATTAGGAATCATTTGACTTTGAGGTTTTTTTTTAGTATAATGAGTTGTGGCAATTGAAACTTTATTTGAGATGATTGATTTTTACAATATCGTTTCAAAATCTATTAATTTATCATGAAGTTTTTTATAAGAAATAAAGTTTTTCTCTAGCATGAATTATGACTATAAGTTCTTTAAATGTTGAACCAAGTCCATTGAGAGTGTGGATAACAAGATCATATTAAGATATAAGAAAACCAATGTGTGCCAATTCATCGACTATGGTTTTAACTTGCTTCAAATACTTTGTTATAGGTTTATCATCTTGAGAAGCCAAAATAAGACTTTTTTTTAGAGACATGATAAGAGAACGAGTATGACTAGTAAATAACATTTCAATTTCTACTAAGCATCTTTGGAAGTGGTTGCCAAAGTAATGAGAGGTAAAACTAAGTCTGACATTGAAGTTATAATGGTATTTAAGAGTAGTTTGTATTTGTTGATGATGCCAATTTGGAATTTGCTAGTTGTTTTGGTTGATAGTTTGGGTGGCAAAAACTTATATAAGTGTTATAAGTAAAGTTTGGGAAGTACTTTATTAAAAATGAATAAATATAAATTAAAATCGAAAATAAAAACCAATAGATTAAAAGATCTCATCACATAGCTCAAACATGTAAAATTTAAAAAATTTTAATAAATTTTGATATATTTATTAAATAGATTTTTTTAATAAAAATATTGATAGAATTTTTATTGTTGAATAAATATCGATCAAATTTGAATTATAAATAATATTTTAATAATTTTTTACATATTATTGATTTTTACATTAAACTCTATTAATTTATCGATTCAAATTTTTTATCAAAATTTTTATTTACTTACTTCTTATAAGGAATTTTACTATGTAACTTTATGTAAGTTTTATCTAGTTTGGGCAAGTATATCTTTTAAATCATCAACAATGCCAATCAAATCATATTCAAGAAGAATGGTATTAAATTGAACATTTCATTAATGATAGTTTAGTGAAGTGAATTTTATAGGCAGTTGAGCTGTTACATTAATGCAAATAAGGCCAATATTAGAATTTGGATTCATAATATTGATAATAAGTTTAGGAATGAGATTGTTGGATACTGGTTGACCAGAAGAAAGAAAAAAAATTAGAATGTTGTTAAACAATAAAAGCTCTAATACCATATAACAGTAAAGAAAATGAGAAATACTTAAAAGATGATTCAAATGAAAAGGTAAGGCATTCATGGACATTTCTTTGTATATATATTATATAAATATCAAAATGTTGCTAAGTAGTAAAAGCTTTGGTACCATATTTGAATTTTTAGTTCTTTTAGTTTTGAATTAGATGGTGTAGTATAGTTAGTGGCAAATTCAAGTGAAAAGGTAAGATGTTTATAGATATCTTTAAATATTAAAAAATAAAAAATTTTGAAAGAAAATTTTGCTCTAGATATCTCTAAATTTTTTTTCTACATGCTTTTTCCGTCGACAAGATTAATAAATTCATTAGTATTTTTTTATTTATATTATAAGTGAACAGTTCGATAAAAATTTCGGATCCATCATTATGTGTTATATTAGTATCATTAGTCAATCTTTCTAAAAGTTTGTTGATAGTATTTTGTTTTGATGATATACTTTAGCTAAAAAAATTCATGTTAATTGAAAAAAAAAAAACTATGGCTTCAATTAAATTGTATTAATATATTTAGCTTAAAATCAATATTAATATAAATGAATAGTATATTTTTATAATTTTTATTAAAATTTTAAATTATATTATTTTAAATTTTTTATAACTTTTGTATTATATTTTAAATTACGAGATATTTTTATCTTACTATTATATCAAATCTTATGACAATTATGATTATGTTATACAAAGTTACCAATAAAGAAAACATCAACATTACTTTTTCATAAAATTATTATTTTTAAAACAAAATAATATACTAATTATTTTTTATTTAAATAAATTTAAATAAATTTTCACCATTCTCATCATCAACTTTATTATGACCTAAATACATAATTCAATAACTAAAATATATATAGTTTTAATTAAGAGTATAATCAAATCGAGTTAAGTAGATATAGTGAAAATTTTAAGTTTGAACTAAACTTAAAAATTTATTACTCAAAATTTAATTCGAACTTGATCAAATTTTAATTTTAAGCTGAAAAGTCAAACTATTTAAACTCATTCAATTAAACTTGTTTAATAAAAAATAAATTTAATTCTTATACTTAATTTTAAACTCAATTATATATTTAAATTTGAGTTCAAATATATATATAAATAGAATAATTATAAAAATATATTAAAATTTAAAAACTTGATTAAGTTTACAAGTTATTTGAATAACATATTAAAATATTTAAACTTGATTAATTTAATAAATCAAATTATTCAAATTTGAGTTTAATTTAATCAAATTTAAATTTTATCTTAATCCAATTAGATTAGCTAGTAAACATTGGTATGTGATTTACGCCCTTAGTTTTAATGTGTGATTTTTAATATAATTTTACATCTTAACAATAACTTTGCCAATCAGAGAGCAAAAACAAGAAGGAAATTGTAGTGGGGGCAGTCCCGATATCCCAATTTCCGTCGTGTAATCCACCCTAAACCCTAGCTTTTGTTTGCGTTTTTCATTCTCTGTACGGCCTTCTCTCTGTAAATTTTTTCAAGAATATTCTTCAATTATTTCATTTAAGGTTTTTTTTTTGGGGGAAGGGATTGGTTTTGGAAGATGGATATTGAGCAAAAACAAGCAGAGTTAATCGATCACTTCGTGAAGCAAGCGTCGGCTCAGAAGGGCTCGGCTCTTGGCTCCGTAATCGTCGAAGCGACGTCGCATCCTTCTCTCTTCGCCTTCTCCGAGATTCTTGCCGTGCCCACTGTCGCTGAGGTCAACCTAAGAAATCAAAGCCGTGACCAATTATTAATTTTTTTTGCTGTACATAGTTTGTTAACTGTTCAGGAGATTCTGGGGTAGCAGCACCCTGTTTGGTTAATGAGAAAATTGAGTGAAAATTAAGGAAATATAAAGTTTGATTATTGTGTTTGGATTTAGAAATTAATATATTTTTACACTATTGGTAGACTAAGTTGCTTATTTTAGCTGTTTGAACTTTTATACATCCCATAGGATTGCAATCAATGAAATTAGGTTTGACTCTTGTAGGATTTTTTTTTTTGTTTAATTTAAAATTTTCTCTGGAAAATTGTTTCATTAGTTTCCTATGCATTTCATTAATGATTGTTGGTTTAATCACATGCTTTTCGAGCAATTAAATGGTTACTGCGCTGGGGTAGCAGCACCCTGTTTGGTTAATGAGAAAATTGAATGAAAATTAAGGAAATATAAAATTTAATTATTGTGTTTGGATTTTTATGCGCTTAACTAAGTTGCTTATTTTAGCTGTTTGAACTTTTATACATCTCATGGTTTGCCATAAATGAAATAAGGTTTGACTCTTGGAGGATTTATTTTGTTTAATTTAAAATTTTCTCTGGAAAATTGTTTCACTAGTTTCCTATGCATTTCATGTGATTGTTGGTTTAATTGTATGCTGTTCAAGCAATTAAATGGTTCCCGCGCTATTAGATTGTTGTTTTATTTTTCTTAATAAGCTTTTTTTTTATTGGGTTGAGGCATTAGTTTACTTGTAATTTATGTGAAACCAATGTACCTTTTGCAGCTTGAAGGAACTGACAACTCATTGTACCTTGAGGTGCTTCGGTTGTTTGCACATGGCACATGGAGCGATTACAAGAGTAAGTTGGAAAACCTTTGTTTTATTGTTTGGCTACAAGTTTGTAATGACTTCAATGCACTTGTTTCCTTCTTGCATCCTAAGTTTTCTATTTGAGAAAATTTGAAGATTATTGGTAGTAAATATGTGTTGGTACTGTGTACGTTAGACTTCAATACTGAATAACAAAGAGTCTGAAATGTCTTCTTTTCCTTGGTGGTTGAATTTAACCTGAAAATTGTTCAGTAAGAGATATCAGTTTGCCTCTTGTGAATGCTAAGCCCTTTTATTTTCGTGGTTGCTTGTCACTAAAGTGGCAACTTTCTATTAAATTGTATGATAACATAGAGCAATGGAAAATGGAAATGATCCAAATATGTAAACTATTATTCGGCTAATCTTCTGAAAGAAATTATTACACTGATTTAATTATCTAAATGGAAATTTCAATGACTAGTAATTGAAATGGCATTAAATTTTAATATTAATTTTCCAGCTTAATAATTTGGCTTTTTTTTTTACCCATATTCTCTCTCTTTCTCTCTTCCATTATATTCTCTCTCTTCCTCACTCCCATTATCTTCCTTTTAACAGTGTTTGTCAGTGATGTTTATTGTTCCAGGCACAGTAGTTAGCAGAATGCCCTTTACTTAATTAAACTACTTGATATATTTCTCAGTCTTGATTGTTCTTATTTTTCTTCTGCACATCATAATGCAATCTGCTTTGCCTGTTTAAACTGTTTTATTAGGTAATAGCGGTAGTTTTCCTCAACTGGTCCCTGATCAAGTCCTCAAGCTAAAGCAACTTACTGTCCTTACTCTTGCCGAGACAAACAAGGTATTCTCTTTGAGTTATGAGTTGTTTGCATTTGCACATCTAAATATGCTATTGCTATTTTCCGGTCTAGTTCCGTTGTGGTTATAACACATTTTGGTGTTCATCAAGCATGCCACTTTTAGATCTCTGTCATCTAGATAATTGATTTCATAATATGATTGAACAAATTCTATAGAGTCTCTTGAAAAAATTTTAACTTTTTTTTAATTCTTTATTTCACTTTTTAATGAAAAGGATTAGATGCACAATTTGTGGGGAATCTTTGTATGATGCTTATTCTACAAGGTTTTCATGTTGGCTGCATCAAGTTCATTTATCTTTATTAAATATTACTTTTTAAATATCCTCCCTAGGTACTACCATATGATCAACTAATGCTGGAGTTAGACGTCTCAAATGTCCGCGAACTTGAAGATTTTCTTATCAATGAGTGCATGTATGTGGTAGGTAGTCTCCTAGCGTGATTCTCTTTTCCTTATAATCCAAAGCTTTGCTCCATCATGACTTGCTTTAGCTACTGGAACAACCTTGAAAGGCCCTTGGGATGTAATGTTTTGAATTTTTTATTTAAAGGATGATTTTCGTTCATCACATTGACTGTGAAAGAACCACCATGTTATTTGTGCGCCTGAATTTTTTGGAGGGATAAGTTTTAAAGGTGGATTTGCATTAAACACATGGCACGTCAAAGTAACATATTTGATATTATATCACACTTCATATGTTTTGCTCTTCAAACATGTACTTACAACTATCTGAACCATTCTTTGGTGGTTGCACCAAAGACCTGAGATCAAACCATGCTTCCACTGGGGGTTGGGAAAAAGAGTGGGGGGAATCCAGGGGAATACTCTCCTGTATCTGTAGCCAGCACTTGTCTGAAAATTAAAAAAAAAAAAGAATAAAAGAAGAACTAATTTTGTTGCTTATGTTTGTGAAAAGTGCTTGTTGCAAATTCAAAATTTGCTCCCCTTCTTTTTAATCTGTTTCTTGTGTCCTAAAACCTGCCTTCCCATGGGGTGTTTTCTTTCCAAGAGGGAGGGTTTGGTTGACTTTTAAGGAAGCAATGTACCAGTTGAACTGAAAGTGTGCTGATTGTTCATTCTTTTTCAACCTTTTTGTTAGGGTATAGTTAGAGGAAAGCTGGATCAGCTGCGAAGATGTTTTGAGGTATGAATTTGCAGTCCTTGTGTTTCAAGGTCTTTTGTACTTTTCATTTCTTTTTCTTGGCTTATTAAAGTTTCTAAGAATTGTTATGGAAGGTCCAATTTGCTGCTGGGAGGGATTTGAGGCCTGGACAACTTGGGAGTATGATACAAACGCTATCAAACTGGTAACATCTCTGGTTCTAATGGAGCATGTGATTAAGTCCTCTGTCCTTGCTGCAGTCATAGTTGCTACTGTCTGATGTCATATTAGCTTTTGGCTTTGTTCATTAAGGCTAGCTAGTTCTAGTAGACTTGATAGAAATGCAAAGTTAAATTTGATCAAAATCAGCTTATATATATATATCTAACATCTGTCCATGGATGAGAACCTAGGTTGGCTACGTCAGACAACTTACTTATCTCAATTCAAGAGAAGATAAAATGGGCTGATACTATGAGTGAGTTGGACAAGAAACATCGAAAGGAGGTTGAAGATAGGGTGGAAGACGTAAAGAAGTCCCTCTCCCTCAAGGTCGGTTGAATCCAGATTTCCCGTTAAAATTGATTGTCCTTTTGCTATAATTCAGTATGGGACCATTAAAAAGCACGAGAAGCAAAATGCAGCTGAAAGTGTTTTCATTAGTTTTTTTTAGTTTTTAAACTATTCCTATATAAGCATTGAAGAGAGTAAAACTAATGTGATTTCCACATGTATGCTAGTTGTAAACACAAATGCGTTGCTTTTAAATATTGAAAATTGTTTTGGAAGGAGGGGGTGATGGTGGGAAAGAGAATCCTTTAATTCTTGCAAAAATGCATATACGGAAAAAGTTTGGAGCTTAAAGCTGCAACTTCCTAGTTAAGATGCAAAGGAGTGAGTTTAACTGGATCTAGAATTAGCATGCCATGACTTAACTCATTTAATATCGAGATATGTTGGTCGATATGGCTTACTTACATTGTGGCAGAAGTTACACACTGTAATCAGGCCGATGTTGACTTCCGAGGGCTTGAGGAGATCTACTGTGAACCTGGTGGAGTGATGGACTATGAGGAAGATCGAAGCCGACCCAAGAGGTTAATTCTTTTTCTACTTTATTCACTTTTGTTCTATATCCTTGAATATGATTTTTACTGAATAGGTGTCACGATTTTCTTGGTGTCTGATTTACCATTCTTTAAGTCATCCACAGGTTGATTTTGGTCCCTATTTTATACTATCTTTAATGCATTAGAATTTGGTTATTACGACTACCAAAGTTATAATTATTAATTGGATTCAGTGACATTTAGATCAGAGTGTATTGTTCGAGCTGACTGCATTTTACTGATGACTAATGGTGTGGAGAAAATGCAGGAGACGGCATCCGATAACCTGAAGAGTGAAGATAGAGCATGCAACTTATTGGATGGGTGTTTAGGTGACCAGCCAGATTTTTGTTCACGACATTCTGGCAACAGGTGATTCTGCTTTTTGGACAGTGATACTGCTGCTTTGGTAGTGAATTTGTCATTGTTGCTTCAGAATTTGAGAATCTTTAGCATGTATTGAACCCATTGTTATTCCTATTGAGTTGGAAAGAACGGGAACAGATCTGGTGTCGCGGCTAAAAATTTTTAAGCCATTAGATACCCAAGATTTACAAATTCAAGTTATTGTGCTTTTTGATGGTGCACTTCATGCTGCATCTTGAAGAATATATCATGGTTATCATTTATGAATGTTACTACATGCTTTCTGTGGCTAATAGTTATCCATTATGTTGGAAAAGTTGTAGTTATATATATGAATTGAGCCATCGGGTGTGGAGAAATTGCCAAGAAAACAACCAAGAGAATAGGTATGGATTTTCACTTTTCCTTTTCCTTCTAATTATAGCAATTTTAAGGTTAAAGTTAAAGTTAATCCTTTAATTTGAAGAGGGTGATATATCCCTTAACTAGAATTGGCGATTCATGTATTCGTGTGGTATGAAATATTTAAATTTGCATATTTATATCTTGTTTTATACAAAAATTATGTGTTATAATTTGTATCAATAAGAAAACATAAAATATATTTTTTTAATTTTATTAAACTTATATATAGTTATTGTTAAAATTTTAAATTATATTATTTTTATATCTTATTTTTGTATCATATTATTTTATCATATTTTAAATTATCAGTCTATTTTTCACCTGACCAAAGATAGCATGAAAACCATAATTCTCAAAGGCTTGTCAATTTAGAGACAAGACGAGGATTGTATAAAAAATAGGTGTAAAAGGTCCACTTGAATATAAATAAATTTTATTATATTCTTCATTTGTTCGATTAATTAATAAATTTTTAATATAAACGAGTAGAAACAACTAGTTTTCATTGATATGTTAGTCAAAGACTAAGAGTTGTTTCAGCACTTAGGATATTAGTAAAGGTGATAACGATTTGGATAAGATTTTGTTCAATTATTTTTTGGATAATATATAAATTATAAAATTATAAAATTTAATTTAAATTTGAAACAAAGTTTTATATGATTCAATTTAAATCGAATTTTATCGATTTAGTTTATTGGTTTTTAAAGTTTATTTTTTTCATTTTGTATATTATTTAATATGATTTTTAATATATTTAAATAGATTTAGGTATAAAATAATATTTTTATTTTATTAAAAATTTAAAAAATTATATAAATGTTAATAAAAATATATAATTCTATTTAATTAATTTTTTTTATTTTTTAATTCTTGATTTTGAGTAAAATTTAATATGTACATTTAATATTGAAATTTAATTCAAATCGAATAAAAAATTATCTAAATTAAATTGAATATTACAATTTCGAATTGGTTTTTAATTTTTTCGATTTTTTTTTATCCTTGAGTGTTAGGGCTTAATCAAATTCTAGAGATATTGGAGCAAAGGTTATTCACAATTCTAAACGTGGCCATAATTGTTTTTTTTTTTTCTCAAAAAAAGACTTCACAGTAGCCTATGTATATTTTGATGGATAGATGCATAGGAATTATATTGACAATAGTTTTTGATATTAAGCAATGCAATGCGACGAAACGCTTAGCTCCCTGAATTGAATGAACAAAAATGAGTAGAACATGACATGCAGCAAAAGCAGTAACTGAAACAGCCAGAGATGATGCAAAAAGCATACCTTCTTCACTTTTCAGGTAGCCAAAAGACGTTTGAAAGCAAAGAAGCAGCCAAAGTTTTGTAACTGCTACTGTCATGCCATGACACACGTATCATGTTTTTACTACTCTCAAGCTTTGCTGTATATGGGAGATCGATAAGATTCGCACCTAGAATAAAACACAAGGCTCAAAACAACTGTTGGTTTTCCTGCTACAGCGAAAATGAAGGGTGATGTTGTTGTGATTTCAGTTCTGGTCGTGCTAGCCATGGTTCAGTTCATGGTGAAGCCAGGACAGGCCGCTGTGACTTGTCAAGCAGTTAGTGATTCTTTGGCTGCCTGCCTTCCTTACCTCACCTCAGGGGCTACGTGTCCCACGGCTGCCTGCTGTAATGGTGTGGGGAGACTCCAGCAAATGGCTCAAAGCACCGCAGACAAGCAGGCAGCTTGCAAATGCGCTAAGGAAGATGCTGCTCGTATCCCCGACATAAAGGAAGATGCCGCCGCATCTCTTCCTGCTAAATGCAACATTCAAGTCAACTTCCCAATCTCCAAGGACATCGACTGCGAGTCGTGAGTCTTACTGCGATCTAACATTATTCCTTTTAGCCTCTAATACATCCAATCCGGATATAAGACATAATTTGTCGTTATTATACATATATCAATCTAATAATTTTACCTATGATCCTAATGCCTTGATTTTTCCTTTTTTGCCAGCATTCACTAAGATGGAATCATGGCGAAAATAAATAAGGCTGAGGGAGCCAGTAGCTGTTGCCACCGACTGTCTCTTCAAGTACCATATATGTGTTGTAATTGTGTTATGTTCGAGCTTCCAAATAGTGATTATATGTTCGTTGTAAGAGATCATGCAAAGTGTGTCTGAGCCTATTGTATTAGTAATAAAAAGGAAGTTTATGAAAATTTCCTATGCTTCTCTCTCTGTAACTGTTTCAAGGATATACCATTGTTATATTCAAAGTTGTTTGTTGATACCTTTCTTACTACGATACGAAAAAAAAAAAAAAAAATGAAAGCAACATGATTAAAAATTTTAACAAAAATTATATATGAATTTGATAAAAAAAAATATATTTTGTATTTGATATGTCAATACAAATATATAAATTGTTAAATCTACTTTTCATCAATTTTGTGATCTAAATTCTTTTGTGACACAAATCTTTGTTCTCTGAGCTCCCTTTTCATGGTTTATTTGTTGCACATGTTTGAGGCTTAAGCATTCAGTATGCAATTTGTGCAATGACACAGGTGGCCATCTTTACTAGAAACTAATGAGTAATGACTAGAGAGACAAAGATTGAACTAAATAACTTAAATTGTTCAATAACAAAACAGGAAGATCCTATATATCTATTCATTTAAAAAAAATTAAAAAGAAGAAAATATGATCCAGAATTCCAATGGACAATTAATGGGGTGATAACCGATAATCTAAACCCCATCTGATAAAGAGCTTAAAGATAAACTTTAAACTGAGCAAATCTGATCCAGAACCTTATCCTATTTACTGTTCCAAGAAACCAAGCCACAGGTTTAGAGCAAAAGAACCAGCCAACAATCTTTCACTGCCATGGTTATTGTATCCATCTATTTACTTTTTGAAGAAACCAGGTGATAATTCAATATTAACAGGAACACCAACTTCCAAGAGTAACCTGTACTTATTACGATCAAAACTTTGCTTAACACCAAAGACAATTTTCACGTTTGACACGAACAAACATGATATAGATATACGAATTATCATATTTATTTTTCACCACAAAGCCATAAGTAAGCTTGTTTTGTTTACTATTTTGAGGAACCTAGGTGACAAATCGAAGTAAGATGAAGCCAAAATTCTTGAACTAACATTTGTTATGCAGTGAACCACATATTCTTGTCTTTGTTACCAATAAAATGGTATATAAAACCCAATGGAGATTCCCATTCAGCCAGCCATACTCAAGCTTAAACAACTATACAAGAGAGCTTGACATCTCAGTTTCATGTATTGTACCTCCATTTTCAAACAAGAAAAGATGAAGGGTGTTGTCATATCAGTTTTTGTTGTGCTTGCCATGGCGCAATTCATGGTGAATCCAGGACAGGCAGCTGTGAGTTGTGATCAAGTCAATGAATGTTTAGCTTCCTGCATTCTTTACCTTACCTCAATGATGCCGGAAATTGATGTTTGAGATGTGGAGATTAATTGCAAACAAAAAAACTCAAAAAAAAAAAAACTCACAAAAATTTGAATAATGAGAGAATATGATTATTAGATTAAATGGGATAAAAGTTCACCACCAAGACTAAAAACTAAGGGATACAAAAACAACACTTTAAGAATTCTAATCAAAGATACAGAACAATAAAAGTTCATCATTCTAGGAAACCTACTCAAGAGATATAGAACTTGAAGAATAATCTAGAAGATTGCTTAAGGATAAAGAAAACTCTATTCTCCTTCTACCAAAGAATAATAGAAAATATATAGGCTAGGAACATCTCTTCAAGCAAGGAAACTTTCAAATTGCATTGTTAGAATCGTGCCTAAAATCAAGGAATTTGTATGTGAACTCATTTACTCCTGCAGATTACATAATAATGAATATGACCATAATCCTATCCATATTCATGCTTTTCTTTTCTAGCTAGTGCGCACACAATCTCTTTACTCCAGCCCACTTTATTTCTGCATTTATTTAGTGGATTTGGATCAAGGATATGCCTATCTTATTTTTGGATAAGTCTGCCTTAGTCTCAGCCCAAGTTGTATTATGTGTAGACACTCCAGTGTCAATTTTCTATGGTTGAAAAAGACTTGTACTCAAGTCTGAACTAGTATTCTCGCCATGGTAGGGTGACAAATCAGCAACATTGAAAGTGAAAGATAATCCATAAGTGTCAGGAAGCTCTATCTTGTAGGCATTCTTTCCAATGCATTAGAAAATTCTAAATGGACAATCTGCCTTAGGCTGTAATTTGTCAAACTTTTCTTGTGAAAACCTTTCTTTGTGTAAGTATTTTCACACCAAATCATGTTTTTTGAATTTCATATATGTTCGATGCATGATTATTGCCTTTTTATATTTCTCATTTTTCTACAAAATTCTATTTTGAACTTATTCATGAAATATTTTGATACTCTTAGCTCTTTTTTCTACATTTCCATCAAAATGCTGGTTAGTAGGAAGAGGGACTGATTAGATTTTTACCATATACCATCTTAAAAGGACTACAACCAGTGATTTGGTTTGAGAAGCGATTGTAGGCAAACTCTATTTGAGGTAAAACAAGATCCAATTGTTTAATTTTTTTTATGGAAAAAAAAACCAAATACCTCTTGCTAATCTTGATTTCATTCTTTTTTTACAGTTGCTAACCTTGATTTCATTCTTTTTTTGCAGTCAAAATAGCTTATATGGTTGGCGGTGATCTACTATTTTAAGGTTTAATTTTTGCACCATAAAAGTGAAAACAACATTTTCAAAACTTTCACTATCAATTGTAACATCATATACCTTATCATGAGCAGTGCTTTTAGTGTGAAATTTATTCTTGTGCAACCAGTCTTTTTTTTTACATGTGCATCACTCAAGCTGTATTGTATAACAAGTGACGATTCAAGATTATCATAGGTCTTTTTAACATCTTCTTCAAAATCCTGGGGTACTTCAATAGGTTTTTCATCATCATCTTCAAAATCTTCATATTCAACCAATATAACTATCTTGAGATTTAGACACTCAAAATTTATATGCCCAACTTTTAGCATTTAAAGTCTCTTTGGGTTTGAGTGTTAACAGCATTAGATTGTGATTTGTTAGGAATGACTCTTTTTTTCTTTAGGTGTAGATTTGAAAAGGGTTTGGTAAAAACACTGCTCTTGGACATACTTCCTTTGTTAATATATTCTTTCATGAAAAGATCCATTTGCTTCAAGTTATGGAGCCTAAGGAAGACGTCTTACCGAAAGTTATTTGAGAGATACTTTCTTTTTAACTCTCTTTTCATCTTCTCCCAAGTTGTAATTTTTCTCTTAGCTGCTCTTTTCCTTTGCTTCTTCAGATTTTTCCATCAAAAGGATGCATGCTTTTTGAGTTTGATGGCAATTAGCTTCACCTTGCGATGTTCAAGGGTATGATAGTATTTAAATATGCACACCACCGTGTGTAGCCAATCTAAGGATTCTTCAGGTTGCATCTTCCCTTCGAACTCAAAAATCTCTATCTTCGAATTGAATATGGTAGGTTGAAATTGGTTTCTAAGTAGATAATCTTTGACTTGTTGTAGGTGAGATATGATATTATCATCAAAATCGTTGTTGTTTCCATGGTATGGATTGGTTTCTCCTTCATATTCTTCGTTCCTCATTTGTTGCCTCTTTATCTTTTTTCTCTTTTCTTGTATATGTAACTGATGTTATAGTTGAAAGATCTGTTATTGTATCTCCTCTATAAGAGCATCCATTGGGTCAACATTAGTAGCTGCTGCAACGTTAGTGTTGGTTTCAATCTCTTTTGCTGGTGTTTGACAATGATGACCTGTCATAGCTTTGATACCAATTTGATGCCGAAAATTAATGTTTGAGATATGGAGATTAACTGCAAATAAAAAAGCTCACAAAGAAAATAACTCACAAAAATTTTAATAATGACAAAATATGATTATTGGATTAAAAGGGATAAAAATTCACTATCAAAACTAGAAACTAAGGAATACATAAACACCACCCTAAGAATTTTAATCAAGGATACAGAATAATAAAAGTTCACCATTTTAAAAAATCTACGTAAGAGATATAGAACTTGAAAAATAATCTAGAAGATTGCTTAAGGATAAAGAAAACTTTATTCTACTTATACCAAAGAATAATAAAAAATATACAGGCTAGGAACATCCCTTCAAGCAAGGAAACTTTCAGATTGTATTGCTAGAATTATGTCTAAAATCAAAAAAATTGTATGTGAACTCATTTATATCTGCAGATTACATAATAATGAATCTGACTATAATCCTATTCATATTCATGCTCTGATTCTCTAGCTAGTGTGAACATAATCTCTCTACTCTAGTCCACCTTATTTTTGTATTTATTTAGTGAATTTGGACTAAAGATAGGCCCATCTTATTTTTGGATAAGTCTGTCTTAGTCTTTGCCCAAGTTATATGATGTATAAATACTCCGATGTCATTCAAGGGCTGGTAATCTTACTGTTAAGTGCTGTGGTGGTGTTGGAAAACTCCAGAAAATAGCTGAAACTACCGCTAACAAGCAAGCAACCTGCAATTGTGTTAAGCAAGCTGTTGCTCGCATCCCCACTATTAAAAAAGATGCAACATTGTCTCTCCTTACTAAGTGCAATGTCCAAATTAATTTCCCAATAGCCAAGAACACCAATTGCCAAGAGTAAGTCCTTTTTTTCAAATCTAAATCCATCATAAGTAGAACTTGGAATCTGTTTATTTGTCGTTAAATACTAATAAAATACGAAAATTGTTGTGTTATAATTTAAATCAACACGTTAAATATAAAATACATTTTTTTTTTATTTTTATCAAATCTATATATGATTTTTTATATAATATTACTGTTTCATATAATGATGGCAATGGATCGAGTTGTGATGAGTTTTTTCTCATCCTAACTTCATAAAGCATATACTCAATTTCGACCTGACTGATATTAAAATATTATTTTTTATATTATACTCGCATATGTATAAAATCGTAAGCAACTCAACTCGACCGAAATTAATTTAACATAATATTCATAAAATATTTTTTTAATATAAATTACATCTTAATTATCTATAAATATAATATTTTTATTAAATTAATATCTTAAATTAAAATATTAAATAATAAATTTTAATATAATATATATAAATATAAAATTAAATAAATAATAAAATATATTATATATATTGGATCACGGCAAATTTACCTAAAATCCAACCTCACTTTTTTTAATAAAAATTCAATCTAAAATCAAATTTTAAAAAAAAATCGGATAGAATCATATCAGATCAAAATCCAATGAATTTAGACCATTTACTATCCCTTGTTTCGTATTAAATTTAATCATATGTACTTATAAATAATATTATTATTCTATGATCAAAACTATGCTTAACATTGTTTCCTTATTTGGCAATATCCACTGAGATGGAAGCCATCAAGAAATGAAAAGAATAAGACTGAGGGAGCCCATTGTTGTTTTTGTCTCCTCCATTATTAAAATTTTGTTATGTTGAAATAATAATTACTATGCACATTGTTGAGATATGGTGCAATTGCAATGTGTGTATCAGCTTATTGCAGGAATAAAGTTGAGGTTGATGATGGAAATTTCCGTTGTTGAGCTCATAGCAATATGAAATATCATAAATTTCATAATTATTCAAATAATTAATATTGATGATCATGTAACTATTTCATAAAAGGAAGCAAGTAACATCTGTTGTTTAAATTTCAACAATTGTAATTAATTATTTTTTATTTTTAAATTATGATATTTTTTATTTTATATAAAAAATATATTTCGTGTTTGTTATATCAAAACAAATTATTTACGATATTTTTTATTTTATATAAAAAATATAGTTTGTGTTTGTTATATCAAAACAAATTATAATAATACAAAAGAAATATTACACAAATAAATATCAGTATTAGTCGATTTTAATCGAATAAATTGACAAAAAATAAAAATTTAATTAAATCAAGGTCGAGCTTTTTTGGGTTTAACAATTTTCTCGGTTGAGTAATCAGTTTGGATGATATAATCAATTAATTTCCAATTTTAAAAATTATGAAGCAAACCAACCAAAAAAACTAAAAATTACGTTACTGGATTTTTTTTTTGCAAATAGATTTATTTTTTTTACAAATGGATCGATCCATTTTGTAAAAGTCTAATCATTTTGTGAATGAATTGATCCATTTAAAATAAATGATGTGTATTTTGTAAATAGATCGATCCTTTTTGAAAAATAAATCACTCTATTTTGTAAATTATCTCTCTACTTATTTAAAATTAAAAAATTAAAAATTAAAAAAAAATCGACCAATTTATTTTAATTTGATTTGTTTTTTATTTTTACTTTTTTAATCAATGACTCAATTTTTTTCTAAATTAGCTTATAATCAAATTAACCAATTGACTAAAATCGAATTAACCAAAATTACTTATCCCTTTACACAAATATATAAATTATTAAACCTAACATTTAAGTAAGTGAATAAAATTTTTTGATATTTTGTAATTGGACAATGCCAAACCCTAACCATCTAGGTCAGTCCATGGGGTTTGGTTAAAAATGGATTTGACAAACAAGACTCACATTAAGTTTGAAATTAGCTATTTATTAAATAATTCATCTTAAATTATTTTTTGATCATGTACATTTAAAATATGATGTAATGGAAAAAATTAATTTAAAATTTTAATAAAAATTATATATAAATTTAATGAAATTAAAAAATATATTTTATATTTTCATATTAATAAAGATTATAATACGTAATTTGATGTAGATAAAATATGAATAGATAAATTATTAATATTTTTTATTATGTAAACAGATGAATTAAATCTAATTTAGAGTCCCAAATGAAAAATACCCAAAAAAAAATCTAGGCCAAGCTGGTACGGCTTTTGACAGCGCGTATGTCCAGGGCTCAACGGGAGCGTTAAGGACGGCGATTGAGGTATGGTCTGGTAGTCTCATGAGCTAATCTTTTAGCTGTACCTTATACATGTAAGAAGGGTATTGGCGCGTTGTGTCTTGTCTGTGTCTGTCAAATGCTTTTACCCTCTTTTAGTTTACTTGTTGATCTTCCACTTAAATCTCAAAACCTTAAAAACCCAGAATTTCTAGTTCATTACCGAATCCCAGGAGTCAGATCCTTGTTGGATTCTTGTGAAATTCTGATGCTGCTTCCCTATAGCTCTGAAACCTGAAGCTAGCAACTTTATTTCATGTTTTTCCCAACAATGGCATCTCTTTCACAGTCGACTAGCTTCCTCATCATCATCATCTTCGTCTTTTCATTCATTCTCATCCCAACCACACATGCCATTCCCTTCATCGTATTGCACGGTAATGTTCTCATCCACATCTTATTCTTTGTAATCCATTGAGTTTGCAGTTCCAGATTCTATGTAATTTTAGCTCAACCAATTTCCTTGAGAAATGAAACTGAAATATGGTTTTTGAATTGTGTAAATTCGTTGGGTTTGAATAGATAGAATTTTCACTGGACTTATTATATTGAATAGTTTAGACATGGGATACGTAGGTCTGTCTGTCTACTAGGAGGGTCAAAACTTCTAGAGGTAGATCATGAAAGACGTAGATGCAAGTAATAAAATATGATATGATGGTTAAGGAGATAGATGAAAAGATTGTTGTTGATAGAAATGAATGGCGATTCAAAACTACAAAAACTACAACCTAACATAATTCCCTTTTTTGGTCTTTCATATAGCCGACCCTAGAGTATGGGATTTAAGGCTTAGTTTGTTGTTGTTGTTGTTGTTGTTGGTGTTGTTATTCTATTGGATGGATACCTTAAACCTGTCGTTTTTCACATGCTAAAACTGCAAGAGTGGAATGGAGGGCCAATTGTTGGTTTCCATGAAATTGGGAACCTTATTTTCGATGTAACTGCAATGGCTGTTTTGTCATAATGACATGTTTTGTGGCAGGCATTGGTGATAAATGCAGTAACCGAGGAATCACTCAATTCACTGAGCTTCTAAGCGACTGGTCTAATTCTCAAGGCTATTGTTTGTATGATCTTCTTTCCATGTTTCTTTTATGATTCTCTTTTCATTTTCAATGACTGCAAATATAAAAATTTTGCTTTGGTAATCTTCCCAAATCAGAAGTTTGATTTATGTATCTATGCAACTTGGTCTCAAAGGCTTGCTGCAGCTATTTGTGCTGCAAATTTTTATATTTACTTTGACTTTCTTTATCATATAATTTCTAATAAGCTTATGAGAAGGCATCAAGAACAAGAAGTGAACTTTGTTTGAGCTTATTCTCAAACTCTGCTCACCATTTTCACTTATTTAGAAAACTCATGCAGCTATTCTAGGTATCTTTGCATGCATTTTGCAGCATGTGTGTAACATTCTGCTGCATAATTGCTGTGTTTGGGTGAGTACATGTCTTTGTTGGTGTGAGTGTATAAATTTGTTCTTCTGAATTCTGATCAGGCTATTCTGTGAAGCAAAATTATGTTATAACTATCTGAACCAAATAATCTGACATCCTTTATTTGGCTTTAGGGAAATTGGACATGGATCATGGGATTCATGGACTATGCCCCTTTCTGAACAGGTGATGAATTGAACTGAGTTTGAGGTTTCTTATCACATGTGGTCCTTATAATAATCATATAACTCTAACCTATCTTAGTTTTTCTTGCAGACGTCAATTGCTTGTGAGAAGGTTGTAAAACCATTTGGTGACATTCATGGCTTGGCTGTATTATAGTTGAAGTTCTAACATGATTCTAAATGAATCTTCATTCCAACTTACAGGTGAAGAACATGAGTGAACTTGGTGAGGGTTACAACATAATTGGACTCTCTCAGGTGATTAATATAAGTTGAAGTTTGGCTTATTTCTATCATTTCTACTTGTTCATGCATTTTGATTTACATAATACGTGTTTGATGTGTGTACATGCACACATGTTCATTCATTTATTTGCAAACTTTTTTAATCGTTTTTTGCATTAAAATTTCATATAATCCTTTTCTTTTACACAGGGTAACCTGATTGGTCGAGGGATTATTGAATTTTGTGATGGAGGACCCCCTGTAAGATCTTATTCTTGAAAACTCTGATATCGCATTTCATTTATGTTTTGTTTAGCCACTTGCATACCTGGGCTATATGACTTCCACTGATCCATTACTCATCATATAAGATGCTATAGGTGTGGTGACTTACTAGCTATAAATTCATTCTGTTAATTGTCGAATTCATATAATATTAGCTAATTATGTGGAGATTTGGTTTCTTAGCTTCCCTATTTGGAATTTATAGCATCATTTATTAGTAATATCCCTTTAGTTTTTTACTTTTATCTTCACCAAAATTTAGTACTCTAATTGCCCCAAATAGTGAATGTTACTGGTTCGGCTGGCCACTGGATGCCCCTTTTCTGGCATATACGCCGACAAAGCCTAATCAGCTCCCCTATCTTTTTTGCAGCATTGATTTCTTTTTCTGCTTTTTTGCATGCTTTTCCTTCTCCTGTACTTTTCTATCTGTTGCAATGTTGCTAGTTACTTATGTCTTCAAACTGAAATCGAACATTGTGTCTTATTCTTACCTCTGTGTGAGTCAGGTCAGGAATTTCATATCATTGGGAGGGCCCCATGCTGGTACTGCTTCAATTCCATTTTGTGGAGTGAGTGCCTGTTCCATGGTTTTAATCGTTCTTTGCGTTCTTTTGGTAATTGTTTCCAGACTATTATTGCAGTCTTGTCTGATGCGCCCTTTTTTTTGGCAGTCTGCTCTGATATGCATACTTCTGGATAGTTTACTCAAGTTGGAAATCTATAGCAACTATGTTCAGGTATAGGACCCTTTTTTACCTCTCCAGCCTTTACATAGACAGAGGCGGATTCAAAAGATGTAGTAGGATTGGAAAACAAGAAAATTTGAAGGAAAATTTTCGTCTGGATACCATTTCCATTGATAAAATTGGTAAATCCATCGACAGCTTCTTATATATATTGTAAGTGAACACTCTCAGAAAAAATCCTAGATCCGTCACTGTAAGTAGTTAGCAAGTCTGTCAATAGGGGAAGAAACAGATAAATACAAGTGGTGGTTCCATCTCATTATGGATCTCAAACTTCATCGACCATCTCCCCCCAGCCACATCATTTTGTTATATTGTTTAATGCTTATGTATCTAAATGGGAATTTAATACCATCTTGAACGCATGCCATTGATAATTGCAGGAACATTTGGCTCCCAGTGGTTACCTTAAAATTCCAACAGTGAGCGTAGTTCCTAACTTTGGCTTAATATCTTTGGTTATCTTAAAATTCTATAACTTTTCCCATGTCAATGGTCTACTTGATATCTTTTTCTCTTTCACCAGGCCATGACTGACTATCTTGAAGGATGTAGATTCCTCCCAAAACTCAACAATGAAATCAATGGTACGAGAAATTCCACTTACGTGGAACGGTTTGCCAGTTTACAGAATCTGGTGCTTATAATGGTAAGTTGAAGTGTCCCATTTTAGTCTATGACTCTTTTCAGCCAACTTCGGATGAGTAATCTGCAATTTTTCTAACCAGTTTTGTCGTGCTAATCTCCATCTTTCCATGTTTGGATCAGTTTGAGGATGATACAGTTTTGATACCCAAGGAAACATCCTGGTTTGGTTATTATCCGTATGGAGTCTTTGATCCTATATTGCCTGCACAAGAGGTAAATCTACTTTCAAATTTGATCCTGTATTTCCATGGAAAATTATATAAATATAAATATATATATATATATATATATATATTATAAGTAGACACTCTCAAAAAAAATCCGGGATCCGTTATTGTTTCCATTACTAGGTTTATAACTACAAATACAATTCATGATATATCAGTTCATCCTGAAAGGCACAAGTCTTTCAAATCATCAATGTTTAAGATGAAAATAACAACGATTTATTTCTCTGCAGACCAAGCTGTACAAGGAAGATTGGATTGGTTTGAAAAGCTTAGATGAAGCAGGAAAAGTTAAGTTCATAAACGTGTCGGGCAATCATCTTCAAATCTCGAAAAGTGACATGAAGAAGTACATGGTACCATACTTGGAGGACCAAACATCAACGGAGCAGACAGTGACAGAACCTTCATCTTATGAATGGTTTTCAAGACTTTGGTACTTATTTGAGGATCTAATTGGCCTCAATGAGGATCAATCTTTGTTGCATACCATGTTCTAAACCAATTGCCATTGTCTTGTCTGAATAAGATGAAGAAAAATACAGTAGGGGTTGCCCTGTCTGAAGTTTGTTGCATACCAGGTTCTAAACCAAGTGCCATTGTTTTGTCTGAACAAAAAGAAGTAAAGTACATTAGGGGTTGGCCTGTCTGAAGCTGATATCCTATTGTGTGAGAATTTCCTACTCAAGATGCAATCCTTTAGCAAATATTGTGGGATCATTAGATAAATATCACATATTTAGTAGTAATTTTTTTTAAAATTTTTTTCATGCTTTATCTGACATCCAACTTTTTTCCTCTATAGTTATTATAATATAATTGGTGTATTCGAATTTTTTCTATTTCAAGTCAAATATGTATAAAATTATAAAAATTATCGTATCATAATTTGTATTAATATATTAAATAAGAAATATGTTATTTGATTTTTATTAAATTTATATATGATTTTTATTAAAATTTAAAAATCATATGATTTTCATGGTTTTTTAGTATAGTTTTTATATCTATATAACCATTAAATAGATTTGGCAATTGGTATATTCATATGTATAAAATATTAATAATTTGTATATTTATATCATATTTTATATGAAAATTATGTGTTATAATTTATTTTAAAACGAAAATATAAAATATATTTTTTGATTATGTTAAATCAATTTATGATATTTTTATGTTTTTTAGTATAGTTTTTGTATTTGTATCACCGTTAAATATTGATAATTTGTGTAGTGTAAAATACTAATAATTTTTATATTTGTGTCATATTTTATATAAAAATTACGTGTCATAATTTATATTAACATAAAAATGTAAAAAATATTTTTTTGGTTATATTAAATCCATTTATGATTTTTATTAAAATTTTAAACTGTATCATTTTCATATTTTTTATATTAATAATTCGTGTATTTATATTATATTTTACATAAAAATTATATGTTATAATTTATGTCAACATTAAAACGTAAAAAATATTTTTTTATTATGTTAAATCCATTTATAATTTTTATTAAAATTTTAAATTATATTATTTTTATTTTTTGTATTAATAATTTATGTATTTATAATATATTTTACATAAAAATTTTGTGTCATAATTTATATAAATATCAAAACATAAAATTTATTTTTTATTATGTTAAATTCATTTATAATTTATATTAAAATTTTAATCTATATCCTGGTGCCATATATAATGATATGTTTTCGTTTCAGAAGGGCTTTTCGTTCAAAATCTAAACCAACGGGCAAAAACGAACCGGCAGCCATAGATGAGAGATCAAGAAGAACAAAGCTTACGCTCTATTTGGGGTCTGAGAGAAAGAAAATGTATGTTTCTTCTCCAACAAAAGAACACAATAAACACTCTCCTCCAAATCCACGCTTTCATGCTCCGTCACTCCATCGAAACCAACCTTAACATCTTCACTAAATTCATCACAGCCTGCGCTTCTCTTTCCTCTTTTTCCGCTATTAACCACGCCCGCCACTGGTTCGACGTCAGGCCTCACAGAAACGACCCGGTTCTTTGCAATTCCATGATGAAAGCCCATCTGGGTCTTAACCAATTTACCCAATCTTTCACTCTTTACAGAGATCTTAGGAGAGATGAGGAGGGTTTTGTTCCCAACAAGATTACATTTTTAACCCTGGTGAAGTCTTGTGCTTTGAATATTGCAGTCTGGGAGGGTTTACAGATACATAATCACGTGATAAAAGGTGGGTTTTGCTTGGATTTGTATGTTTCAACAGCTTTGCTCGATATGTATGCAAAGCTTGGAATCATGGATTCTGCAAGAAAGGCTTTTGAAGAGATGCCTGAGAGAAGTTTAGTTTCATGGACCGCTCTAATCTGTGGCTATGCAAGAGCTGGGGATATGGAGAGAGCAAAGAAGCTTTTGGATGAGATGCCTGAGAAGGAGGATTCTGTCTTATACAATGCTATGATTGATGGATATGTTAAGTTGGGAGATTTGGATACTGCTCGAAGTTTGTTTAATCAAATGCCGGATAGGAATGTAATTTCTTGGACTAGCATGATTAATGGATATTGTAATAGAGGTGATGTTGCGTCTGCTAGGTTCTTATTTGATTCCATGCCTGAAAAAAATCTAGTATCTTGGAATGCAATGATTGGTGGTTACTGTCAGAATAAGCAACCTCATGAAGCATTGAAGTTGTTTCATGAAATGCAATCGAGCACGTTGTTTGAGCCTGATAAAGTAACCATTGTGAGCATTCTTCCAGCTATTGCTGATTTAGGTGCTCTCGATTTGGGTGAGTGGGTTCACCATTTTGTTCAAAGGAAGAAACTTGATCGAGCAACCAATGTGTGTACTGCTCTTGTTGATATGTATGCAAAATGTGGGGAGATAAATAAAGCGAAAAAGGTTTTCAATGAGATGCCAGAAAAGGAAATAGCTTCATGGAATGCTTTAATAAACGGATATGCAGTGAATGGGTGTGCCAAAGCAGCGTTGGAGGTATTTTTGGAAATGCAAAATGAAAGAGTTATGCCAAATGATGTGACCATGATAGGTGTTTTATCTGCTTGTAACCATGGTGGTCTGGTGGAGGAAGGTAAGAGGTGGTTTAAAGCAATGGCAGAATTTGGGCTCACTCCGAAAATTGAGCATTATGGTTGTATGACTGATCTGTTAGGGAGGGCAGGATTTGTGGATGAAGCTGAGAAATTGATAGAAGATATGCCCTATGAGGCCAATGAAATAATTCTCACTTCTCTTCTATTTGCATACTGGTCCTTGAATAATGTTAAAAGAGCTGAGAGTCTGCTAAATAAGTTGGTCCATATGGAGCCAAGTAATCATGGGAGTTATGTGATGTTAAGAAATTTGTATGCTGCAGAGAAAAGATGGGAAGATGTGGAGGAAATTAGGAGATTGATGAGAAGGAATGGGGCAAGAAAAGAGGCTGGCTGTAGTGTTATTGAGGTTGATAGTAGGGTTTTGGAGTTTGTATCTGGAGATAGAGTGCACCCCGAGTGGGAAATGATGCAGTCAGTGTTGCGGCAGTTGTGGATGCACACGAGGGGTCAACAACCAGACAAGGCAGCTGTTTAAGTTGAAGAAGGTTTGGATTTGCCAGTGATGATTGGCAAAGCTCAAAGCTAAAGCACGTACTGGAACAATTTCATTGGCCTAGTGATCTTGTAGTGTTGTTGTATGCATCAGACCATTGGCAACACATTAAGGTGTGGAGACAAAATTTCATTGGCCTACTGATCTTGTAGATTCAGATTCCTCCGAAAACTCAATAATGAAATCAATGATATGGGGCATTCCACTTACAGCAAACTGTAAGTTGGCGAGCCCCATTTTAGTCCCGCGGACCCTGCCCCTTGTTAGCCAACTTTGGACGAGTAATCTGCAATTTGCTCACCAATTTGGTGGCTCTACTTGTTTTGTTATCATCCAGGCAGAGCCTTTGGTCCTATATTGCCTGCATCAGAGGTAAATCTACTTGAAATATTTTAATAGGTAAACTTTTCATAGTGGTGAACTAAAATTCTTGTTGGAGGTATTCAATACATACAAGTAAATCTTGAAGGTCTCAAGCCTTTTGAATCAATATCAAGATGAAAATAACATCAATATCCATAGATATATACTGCTTCATTTAATCAATAACCATGTCTATTTCATTGCAGGCAAGCACTATAGGGAAGACTGGATTGATGATGCTGGAAAAGTCAAATTCAAAGCTCTCAAAAGTGACAAGAAGTAATAGTACCTCATTCAAGGACCAAAGCATCTACAGAGCAGACAGGAAAAAAAAATTCATCTTGTGAATGGGTTTCAGGAGCATGAATTTATTTATGTCTTGTAATAATTGGTCTCAATGAGGATCAGATTACTTTGCTGCATGTCATGCAGTAAACCAAGTGTGATTGTCATATGTGAAAAAGATTTAAGTTAAAAGGGAATAGCACTTTATTTTTGCTTCCTTTTTTTTTTACCAAAGTAAGCTAATAGAAATGAGTTCGATATAAACGAGTGATTCTTGATAGAAAAGAGTGATGTAAAAAAATTCAAACTATATTTTAATTTAATTTTTTTATTTGATTTTTTATATAATCATTTTTAGAATATGAGATTTAAGATTTAGTGTGTTGATGTTACTAAAATAAGCTAATCCAGCAGTCAGCCAAACAACACACTGCTCAAATGGCCCAAAATATATAATTTAAAATATATATATATTACAGTACTGGTACTTTACAAGGGAAAGGAAAAAAAAAAGTTAATCTTGGTGAACTGTAATGAAATAATTAATATGTTATTTAAATTTTTAAAAATTTTAATATAATATTTATTTCAAATATAATTATTTTTAAATAATGTAAGTAATAAATAAATAATATTTTAAATATCATATTAATTAATAAATTTATAATTTAAGTATAATATTAAAAATTTTAAAAATTATATACCTTAAATATTTTATTATAATTTAAAAAATTATTCAAGAGAAAAAAAAAATATCATTAATTCTTAAAAATATTAGTATAGACATGACAGGGACCTTAAAAATTAAATTTATATTTGGATGCAATTGCACTTTTAATGAGGTGATATTAAGGTTCAATCATCATTAATTAAATTTAAATATTAATTTTATTAAAATTTATTTAGTATAAATTTTTTATTAAAATTTTTTTAATCATAATTATAATAATATTTATTATTATTTTTAATATCATCAAAATTTATCTCACTACTTATTAGAATTCTAAAATTAAACAAAAAATTTAAAATCTAAATTACTTTTTATAGTTTGAAAAAGTATTATTTATAATAACATTTTTATATTTAAGAAAATAATTAGTAGTTAGTGGTGTAAATTTTAATATATTAAAAATAAATTACTTATATTGCTTAAAAAATAAATTACTTATATTGCATAAATAAATAAAATACACATAAAATGCATCCATAATGCAACGTCCGTACCTAAACGGACGGCATCGAATTCCGAAACTATAAATACGATGATTTAATGCGAACATGACATAAAAATTTATTGTAATAACCATTCTGTACCGTTCCCTTTCCCATGGGGAGCCAACAGAAAAAGGTCACTTCGTTCTTCTCCTCCGCTCTTAGAGTCAAAAGCCTAAACTCGTCCTCCAACAGCACAACTTCTGGCGATGGCCTTATCCGCCGGCTCGGCGTTTTCGATCTTATCCTTCTCGGCGTCGGCGCCTCCATCGGTGCCGGCATCTTCGTTGTTACCGGAACCGTCGCTCACGATGCCGGCCCCGGTCCGTACCAATTCTTGCCTCCTTTTTGGTTCCCGGATTTCATTTCTGAATTTAATTTTTGATCGATTTCAATTCTGTTACAGGAGTGACAATTAGTTTCGTACTCGCGGGAGCGTCGTGTGTGTTGAACGCGCTGTGTTACGCGGAGCTAGCATCACGGTTTCCTGCAGTAGTCGGAGGCGCGTATTTGTACGCGTATACGGCGTTCAATGAAATCACAGCTTTTCTTGTCTTCATGCAATTAATGTTGGATTACCATATCGGAGCGGCCAGTATTGCTCGTAGCTTAGCGAGCTACGTGGTTTCGATTTTCGAGCTTATCCCTGCTTTAAAAGGAAACATACCGGCTTGGATTGGCCACGGTGGTCAAGAATTCTTTGGAGGAACTTTGTCTATTAATGTTTTGGCTCCGATTCTTCTTGCCCTTTTGACAGTTATTCTCTGTCGGGGTGTTAAAGAATCTTCTGCTGTTAATTCTTTCATGACTGCAACAAAGGTACTCCCTTTTCAAGGCTTTGTTTGGTTTTTTATGTACTGATACCTGTTTTTTTCCTTTATGAAAGTAAAAGCAAATATGGTTGTTTGTGCCGAGTTGTTTGCGAGGGTAAAATCCTGAAAACATAGGAAAGAGAGATCGGTCAACAAAAAGGTCCAGAGTTTTTGGGCGTTTGTGCTCCCATACTCAAATCAATGCTAGGTCAAAGAGTGAGAAGGAGAATAAGATGAAATATATGCTTAAAAGCTAAGAGTTTCATTCGGTTTAGAAGTACCTGGATGGGGCTAGAGGGTTTTGGTCCTAGGTGGCCCGAGGTCGACGTAGGGAGATTAGGGTTGACCTTGTATGCTCGAGTTAACAGTTGACAGTTCACTCGGGGAATGACAAGTTAGCACCCTCATGTGCTAGCAAGTAGGCTGTGTCGACTGTCGAGTTAATGTGGATCTCCGGATTTCAAGTTGGCCTGACATGATAGATCGGCCAAAATGACCAGAATGTCTTCGTTTGTCAATTGATTTATACTTAGGAGAAAAAATTTTATTTTGTCCTTTGGAAACTAAAGTGCCCCTAAAAATGGTACTTGGATACAAAAGGAAACAAGATTTGTGAATGTGTAAAAGTTAAGAATTTGACCTGTGTGAGTAACAACTAACAGCATAGTATGAACTTTTGTGAGAAAGTAAGTAGTAAAACAAGAAGCAAAGAAGGAAAAAAGGTGAAATAGGGTAACCTTTTTTCGATGTTAACTGTGTTGCAGGTTGTCATTGTTATTTTTGTCATCATTGTTGGTGCTTTCAAAGTTGATTTAGACAATTGGTCTCCTTTTGCTCCCAATGGTTTTAAAGAAATATTGACAGGAGCTACTGTAGTATTCTTTGCGTATGTTGGATTTGATGCGGTTGCTAATTCTGCTGAAGAATCAAAGAGGCCTCAGGTATTCTTATTTTGAGATCAACTCAATGTCTTATGCTGCAAAGTATTGTATTTTATTTTACTAACGTTTATGTAGTGTCTCCATGTTATTTTATGGTTTCATTGTTTCCCTTGTTTTATTTTGATGTTTCAGCGGGATTTGCCAATAGGAATCGTGGGAAGTCTGCTTATATGTATTGCATTATACATTGGTGTTTGCTTGGTGATCACTGGGATGGTACCTTACAATCTCCTGGGAGAAGATGCTCCTTTAGTTGAAGCTTTTACTTCCAAGGGTTTGAAATATGTTTCCATTTTAATCAGCATTGGAGCTGTTGCTGGGCTTACAACAACCCTTCTAGTTGGTCTTTATGTCCAGGTGAACTAACTTAGATTTCTATGTTTTTGTTATGTCCTTATTGAGTAACATGTTCCTACTGTAAATGATGGAATGTTTCTCTTGGCAGTCTCGGTTATATCTTGGGCTTGGAAGGGATGGCTTACTGCCTTCAATATTTGCTAAAGTGCATCCAAACCGCCACACACCTATTCATTCTCAAATCTGGGTTGGTATCGTTGCTGCTGTTTTGGGAGGACTATTTAACGTGCATGTCCTATCACACATTCTTTCAGTTGGCTCACTGGTATGCCATTGCCTTTTTTTTCTTTTTAAAGAAAGTCATTGCCCAATATTTATTTACATCATATATGGTTATTAATTTCTCCCAAACTATTGTGTCTTGTGCTTCAAAGTTAGTGGATACCAAACATACATGACTCACAAATTTTGAAGGTGTACTATCATTCAGCATGTGGTGCATTTCCTAGTATCATGTTTAGGTTATCAAAGCAGTCTATTTTCAGCTGTGGATGGAAGCAGATATGTATCTTCAGAACTTATTTCTTGCTAATAACTTATCACAATAGAGTGCATACCTTTGTGTCTGTCACAACATGCAATAACTTATAGAAGTGCATGTATTGGGTGCTATGTGGGAAGGTCATGAAGTTGGAGGAAATTATCTGCGTAAAATAAGTTTCTTTTTTGAAGGACAGATTGCTTTAACATGTTCATGATTATGACGGACATGCACCTCATGTTATACTCTTATTTGTTTCAGACAGGCTATTCTGTAGTTGCAGCATGTGTTGTAACTCTTCGCTGGAAAAATAAGACAGGAAATCAAGTTTCTTCAAAATGCATATCAAACTGGTGTGAAGGTGTCATATACATTGTCATAGTGGCATGCTGTGGTTTTGCTACTGGACTTCTTTATCGTTTCGGTGCTTCCTTTATTTTTATGATTGTTGCAGTGGTGATAGCCATAATTGCTTGTGCTGCTCTTTATTGCCGTCAGGTAAGCGAAACGATAAAGAATGGTAATTATTGTGAAGAATGGTAATTATTGTGAAGAATGGTTTTTTGAATTAGGCTTTAAACTACCCTCTGAATATGGAAAACTAGTCCTTTTGAGCGGATCTAGATTGATTGCCATTTACAGTGCAGACTTCTGCTTTCTGCTTGATCTAACATGGTCAACTGAATTTGTAAACATCTCTTAAATAAAATTTCTGAACTCCTTAATGTCCTTCTCAGGCTTATTCAGATCCTCCAGGGTTCTCTTGTCCCGGTGTTCCCATTGTGCCATCTGTTTGTATCTTTTTCAACATCTTCCTGTTTGCTCAGGTTTGCTTGAAAATGCCCTTACTACACTCCTTTGACATCACTGCATCGAATTTGTGAAACCAATTGAGAAACGACTTAAAATTAGCTTTTTTTTTTTTTTTTTCACAGTTGCACTATGAAGCATGGATCAGATTCGTCATCCTCAGCGTAGTATCTGTCGGTATTTATGCATTTTATGGACAGTATCATGCTAATCCAAGTTCAGATGAGACAATTATTTACCATATGGTACCTGATGAAGATGCGCGCTAATTACATGTTTACCTGCCTGTGCTTCTTGGTACGTCTTGCAGTTTATCATCCTATTGTTTTGCATTGATCTTGTTATAAAATCATTTGTGATCATATGTAACATAAGACGCATAATAGTCGAAATACTCTGGATAAAGCCAAACACTTAGAGAAGCTGAACAATAGGTTTGTAGATATCGAATTCTCTTAGACAATTATTAGCTTCATGCTGCCATCTAATAAATAGAGAATGTTGTTCCTGTGGTCTTTTCTGCAGTAAATTCTTAATTTATTATCAAGTACTGCCATTTTCACAACAGTGCAGGATCTCAGTAGCTTTTTAAGTATAGTCTACCGTATGGATCATTGACATTTTAGCATTAAAGATCCATCCCTACCAATGTTCAAGCATACTTGGCAATTTTAGATACTGACAATAAAATGAATTTTGTATTTTCGTATTGAGACGGATTGTGATGTGACAATTTTCATGTTTTATACATTTTCATGCTTTACACGTGTTTGCCAAATGCATCACTGATAAATGGTAAACACTCGGGAATGTATGTATACTTCATTCTCTGTATAACCCAACCAAAAATGAAATAACACAAAAACAAAACTCACTATGGGAAAAATTTTGAAAAGCTGGTAAAAAAAAAAATTCTCAATAAACCTGGATGTCAGTACCAAGACTGCTCAATGGACCAGGGTTCCTAGATGTCTTCTTATCCGCATGGCAGCAAAGCTATAGGCATGAAAGTCTGGGAAATGGCTGCCTGACTAGCAAACTGAAACCTGCCGGCCAGGCTTCCCTCTCCTGGCATCTCTTTAGCTGACACACCTGCATCGACCTATCCATCAAGGTCTGACTCTGTTACAACAACTACAGAGCCATCATCGAAGGCTGCTGTATCTTGTTTTTCTGGGAAAATTAGGGTTTTCTTTACTATCATGCAGCAAGATTTTCCAAAGATTCCATTATTTTTCACTTTGAGAAGATAGTAGTAGTCTTGAACAGTCTACATTAACAGATTTAGATAATATGAGCCTAGGAACATAAATTATTCATACCAGAAGAAGCACCAAATAATAGTTTAATAAACTCAATAGGGCATCCTTGTTGCTGCACAGGCGCCGGAAGTACCCCGGATCTGATAGATCTGACATATTCATAAGCTGCATCAGGTGTCATATGCTTATGTTCCACCAGTTATACTTGATAAAATAGATAAGATCAATTCCTAAAGTCAGTCAGCTTTTTAATCAGTGAATACCAGGTAGCATAGAACAATGGTTGTGCCGCGCCCTCGACCAGCCTTGCAGTGAACATATGTGGTTTTCCCAACAGATGTGTTCTCATCATAAAGCACCAAAAATAAGTAAATGTCTAACCAGAAAAGTTGCACTCGGCTAACAATGAATACAAATCCTAGAAGACACATAGCATGTATGAAATCTACAGCTTGGCATATATCAGCAAATGATGCAGCAAAAAGATAGTCCCTTATAGGAATCAACAAATGATTGATGTTGTAAACCCGCCAAGGTAAAAGAACAAAAAAAAAAAAGAAAAAACCCAATGAATATTTGGGCTTTGAGGCAAATCTAAGACAAAAAAAATATCATGTTTCTGATAGAAGGCAACCTGCAACATTTCTTAAATTCTTCTGTTCATATCATAGCTAAAATATGCACCTGAGTACCTTGAAAGTGAAGATGAAAAGATTCAACTCAAGGAACTCTTGCTTTCATGTCTGAAATTCTCACTCACTAAAAGATAGCTCACAGTATATAATTTATCAAGGCCAAGTAGGTACATTTTTAATGAAAGGATTAATATTATGAATTACCTCTAAAGTTATAGTGAAATGGTTAATGTGGTATTAAATTATGAATCAATTAATTAATGTGGTACTCACCATAACGTGCATAGCTTCAAATAATGACACGTGACGAATAAATAATCTTTCGAATATCGCATTAGTTAATATATTTATAATTCAAGTATTACATTGAACATTTCATTATAATTTAAGGATCATTCATGAAATTAACTCTTAATGAAACCATTATTATCTAAAATTTTATGATTACTTATTACATTAAGTATCTACAGAATCAGTGTAGATTCTAACAACATAGCATTTAAACTGCAAGGAGCTTACTCACATGATATGGTGATGTTGGCCAAAGTCTCTTATGGTTCATTTAAGGTCACCATTCCAGAGACACCAAGATCCTTCAAGCGAGGAACATCAGCAGGGAAAGGCATGGCACCAAACAAAATAAACTGAATCCAAGGCAAAGTGAACTAAAGAAAAAGATTTAATAGATAACCATAAAGCAATATGGACAACAATCTGCATCATCCACATGATCAATAATGAAAGTGAAATTTCATTTTATCTGTGAGAGCTGGAAAACCAAACAACTAGGATTCCAGGAAAAACTAACCTGACCTTCAAGTTTAGACAGTTATAAGGAGATTAAAGCATGAGTAGTCAATAGACAATAGAATATCAAAATGGTGATGGGATCTAAATTTGAAAAAGATATCATCAGCAAAATTACAACAAAAACAGACATTAAGATAGTTTTGAGGAATAATTCATCATATTAATACGACAAATTCTAACATCCCAAGTGATTAAGGTTTAGGGCTTAAATGTAAAGCATCCAGGTTCAAATCCCACAATCTCTTATTGGTAGGAGATTTATAAATCCAAAAAATCATAAATAAATCCGAAAAGTCACAAAAGATCTGTAAATCTCACTTGTTTGGCGGCTTGCCCGACCTTGAAGGTGGAGTAATCAGGGCAAACGAGTTAATACTACTGCTCCCACCAAAACCCCTTTTGCATGCCAAACAACCAGGCTCTCTCCACACAGTTCACTCTGATCTGGATCCTGCTGCTACCCTCCATTCAATTCCTCAATATACCTCTTTTTTCTCTCTATTAATTCACCAAAATACACACACACACACAAAAACCAACAAAAATTGCCCTTACAACCTTAAAATATACATAACTCAAATTAACAGGAAAAAAAAAGTGCCCTTTAATTTTGATTACCCAGAACTGGAGACTACAACAAAGAAAAACAAGAAATCCCATCAACTAAAACAGATGAAGACTGTAATCAGAGACCATAAGTTAAGACCTTGACGACAAATCTACTACGAAAAGCTGAAGACATGTTTGACTAGGAAATATGCATGATCTAGATGAAAATTAAGATAACAAAAAAAATCCGAAATTAAAGGGAACTAAAAGAAAAAGCTTTAGTTTTGGCCCTTTTCTTGCGGAGTCAGTTTCTCTTATTTCCCGCTTTCCCTTCAACGAACTCTGCAAAATGAAAGCAACCAAACCAAGCGGTGCAGGGTCGCTCCAGCAAAACGACGTCGTTAATTGGATAAATTTTGTTTTTTTTTTTTTTTTTAAACTTAATATTTTATAAAAAAAATATCGTAATTTGGATATAAAAAATTTTCATTTTATTTTTTGAAGATGTAATTTTTTACTTTTTAACATTTGGATTGGTGATAAAACAAGTGATGTATACAAATATAATGTAGTGCACAAACAAATCATTGTCACTTTCAAATCAGTTGGGAAACGGAAAAAGTAATTTTAGATGAATTCACTAAATTTGACATAGATAAATCTGTTTAAACCGATCCGCAAAACCCAAAATTCTCTTTCTGCTCCAAAAAAAAGAAAAAGAAAAAGAAAGTAATATCCAACCAACTTGGGGCAAAAAGAGGAAATTTTTTAGGCTACATTCTTTTAAATTCACAGGTGGACCTTGATCTCTAAGATTTGACAAGATTCATATGCACCAAGGCAGTAACAATGAACAATTCAATTTCACAGCTTAATCATTTCTGTCAATTTAGTTGTTCTAATCTTCAATCATTAGTAGAATACAAGCCTACTCTATATGTGAAAAACAACAAACTAAAATCAGGCACATCACTTGTCATCATTCCAAGCAGAGAAAAGCCACCAACATAAGGGCTTGCAGTCTTTAGTTACATAGCCATGAGGTGCAACACTGAGATCACAGTGGCCTTGAACTTTTAATGATCAAAAGAGATCATTTTCCTTGTAGTTTACATCTGCAAACTGAGACAAATACATCTATGTTAGCTTTGTAAAGAACCAGTTGAGCTGACGATATGAATTTAGTCAAGCTGAGCAAGTTAAACATTTAAGCAAAAAGATTCAGTTCTCAATGTAGACATAGTAACTAGTAATAAGATATTAACAACTATGATGGTTAGATAAGTGGTGTTTCTTTTGGCCAGACGGCTACTGACAGTGATTATACCTAGGTGATCGGATATTTATTCGATTAAGCAACTTGTATCAGTTATATACTCTACACAAAACCATGTTGAATACATGAAATACTTGGTGCTGAATGTTATCCCAATTAGGTGCTAAAACCCAGTTTTGAGCATTAATGTTCGCCCCAATTTTCATCAGTGTGTATGGTTGCAGTAACCAAAACCAAACTAAATGTGTAGTTGAACCTGTACAGATTTAAAATAAGGAAAACTTCACATATACTCCTGTGGTTTGCGACTTTTGTACATAAACCCCTAAGAAAATTTTTTTCCCACTTATGGCCCTGTGGTTCACTTTCATTACCAGTAAGGGTAATGACATTAAAAAATAAAGGGGAAGGTAATTTTTTAATTTCATTAAATTCTGTTTGATTTTTAATGCCATTACCCCTTCTGTAACGGAAGTGAACCACAAGATTATTAATGAGAAAAAAATTTTCACAGGAGGGTATGGAGGAAACTCGCAAACCACAAGGTTTGGCATGTGAAGTTTTCCTTTTAAAATAAAACATCAGGGAAGCACAGAAGCAGAGTTTTACAAGATCATCACGTCAAAGATCTTTCTTTGTGTTAAATATGTTTCAAACCAAATGACAAGATGGAAAAATACAAATATAAGTAAGAAATTACCCTGGTTGTTGAGTCCCAGCTTGTTGTATCATCTGAGAATAAATGCATTCATCAACCCTCTGCTTTGCTAAGGCAACCTAAGAAGCACCCGCAATTGATACAAGAGAAAAGATAAGAACCTCGAAAAGACTACAATAAAGAATCAGTTGAAGGCAAGCTTTTTTTCTTGCATAACTATTACCATATGTTTTTAATCATCATCAAACATTAGAACTATTGGAAAGAGAAGGAAATAATCACCTAAAGTAAAACATTTGTCAAATACATATTTGGGAAAAAAAAAAAAAAACACTGAATCATCTTCCTGCTTTTAACCGAAAAAATTACCTGCTGCGAACTCCCACTGAACTGAATATGCCTCATGTTTTGTTCTCCTTTCCCACCATAAACCTGCAACAGTAAAACTAATATAATCAGATGTTGAGAGAGTGGCATCTAAATTACAAAGATGATAAATTGGCCTAAAATACCTAGAAGTAAAATCCAGGAATAGCTAAAGATTGAATCCACAGTGTAAGAACCAATGGTCTGCCCACCTTTATAGTTGCTCCAGACTCAATTCTGATCCTTGAAATATTGGAGCCACATCGGCCGATTAATCCACCAATAAATGTCTCCGAAACCACCATCTCGAAAGTTACGTAATCAGCTGCAAGAGTGGTTGTCCTAAAGATGATGTGGTTATAAGAAAAAATATTAAAATATTAAAACTTGATAGCCACAGAATGTAGCAATTGAAAGCTAAAAATAACTTTAACAAGAAAAATATCAAATAACCTGAAGTTGGGTCCACATACGGCTGAGGCTGAGCTGGGCGAAGTAAGCTATAATTATACGCTGGACTAATAGAAATCACTTGCCGTGGTGGGTTTTCCCTAAATATGGATCCAACATAGAAGTTATACAATTTCATGTTCAAGTAAGAATGAGACATAGCTCATTGTACTACGAACTAAACTAAAGCAACAGCCAACAAATACCTGAGTTGATAACCAATCTCAGCCAAAGCCTTCAATACTGCTGGAACGTCGCCTGATATCTGTGTCCAATGTGAATTCAATCATCATTCAGCAATCGAAAGAAACAAATGGTATAAAACAAGATAAGATGGGGTTCTAAAACTTATAAAGTCTTGACCATGTAAAATCTAACCTGAACAACTCGATCGGATTCATGAGCAGATGCACACAAAGGCAGCTGGTTTGGAGCAAGAATTGTAATTGAAGCTCCGGACGAACTCCTTAATTTCTCGATGTTTTGACCAGACATCCCAATTAGGCAGCCTGCTTGCGATCCAGCAATCAAAAGTCTCATAGTATTCGCAGCCACATGTCCCACACTGACAGCACCTACCTTTGCTGTCTCTGTACTACTATCATCTTCCTGCTAAGAAATACAATACAAAACCATCCACCTCATATTAATTTGTAAGACCTGACAATTTAACACACAACACGGTAACACTACAAAAAAAGACACTAATGTGACACATGTTAAAATTTTAGCAAAAACCATATATGAGTTTAATAAAAACAAAAAAATATTTGGTATTTTCCGTGTTGATACGAATTATGACATGCAATTCTCATGTACAACTCATCAGAGATACACTAATTGTCAGTGTTTTACTCGACACGAATACATAAATTGTTGTAACCACAGTTCAAAAATTACTAGACCTGGTGATTTGTGTACTTGTGTAGTGTAAAATACTTAAATTCGTGCATTCATATAATTTTTTACACGAATATTGCGCGTAACAATTGGTGTCGCACTTACTTTTTTTCCCATTTTCTGATTCTATTTTGCATTGTTGCATCTCTTTCTATATTGAGTATCCTTATCTTTCATTCTACTCTTTTGCTGTCTCGGTGTAAGTATGCCCTATGTTCAGCATTACCCTTCGCTCGCAAGTAAGGTTGCTCGCTCAGTAGGCAAGCTCCTTTCGCACTTTGGAAAAGGATGCGAACAGCGGAGTGGACCCGATTCTTCTAAGCCCCATGCTTAGTGGAACATAAATACATTTTTTTGGTTTTGTTAAACCCATATATAGTTTTTGTTAAAATTTTAAACTATGTCACCTTTGTTTCCTTTTTTTCATATTGTGTTCGTGTCATGTCACCATATTATGTTTTAGATAGCCAGGTCTAAAAACTACAATAAATCCTTAACATGTTCGAAACTTATCATCTTTGCTTATCACTATAGTTAAACTACCAATAAGATCGATAATTGAAAGAAAGAGGCTACCTTTAGGATTACGCTAGCTATTTGCTGAAGCGCATTTTCCGCATCAGAAATCGTATTATCGTTGTCTTTAGAGCTTATTATGATGACGCGTTCTTCATGTCGCTGCGAAACATTAACAAATATAGTAAATTTGGTGAAACAAAATAAAATGAAAAAGGTAAAGATACAAAATTCATGGCAAAATTTCAAACTTACAACAATTGCATCGGCAATCTTGATGGTGGCTTTGGTGTCTTCACGAATCTTTTGTATTCTATGGCCTCCTTTGCCGATGACTTTACCGATCTGTCTTGAAGGGACCACGATACGGAAAATGACGTCCTGGGCTTTGGCCTGTCGTTTCGGTGCCGATTCTCCGGTCTCCCCGGCCGCAGACGGGTCTTGTTCCTCGCGGCGGCGCTTGGAGGTGGAGAAAAGGTCCGGTAGAGGTTGAATCTGGGGTTGGACTGGCGGTGGAGATCGACTCTGAATTTGGACGGCGGGTGGCATTGAGGGGTTTAATGGAATTTCACTTGGGTCGGCCATCGCTGGTGGTTCGGCAAACACGGAGAAGAAAAAGAAGCGAATCGCCACCAAACTTCGAAGCAAAGGGCTTTTATTGTTTCAAAGTGTGGTTTTACCTATATACCCTGGTTCGAGGGTTTTTCAGCTTTGATAAAAAAAATATTAAAATTTTAATTTTATTTTATTATTATCAAATTTAATTTAAAAAATTTAAATTTAAATATTTTAATATCTAATTTTAATAATTTATAAATATAATCAAAATTTTAAATTTTAATATATTTTATTTTTTTAGTTTAAAATTATTTTTTATTTTTATATAAATTTAAATCTAAATTCAAATTTAAACATATAATTAAATTTAAAATTAAATACAAAAATTAAATTATTTTTTATTAAATAAATTTAATTAAATAAATTTAAATAACTCAATTTTTACCTCAAATCATTCTCAATTTTTAAAATTAAAATTCCATGAAACTCAGAACTTTTCCCTCTTATCTCCTTAATTCGGCTGGACTGCATCCCTTAGCGAAACTATAAGCTATATCGATTTGGGTCAAGTCAACTCAGTCGCTCAGTCAGACTCCACCTACAACTGCAATGTGAAACTCAAAGAAGAAACAACCCACAAAATCCCTCTCCCATAAACCCTAAACCCTTCAGCCGACGATGAATCTTTTCGGCAAATATCTCTACTCGCATCTTTCCCGCCACTTTTCTACACAACCCAAGCTCCCAAACTTGACCAAAATCCCTTCCAAGTATCGAACCCCAGCTATCGGAGATGCTCAGCAAGTTCTCACGGATTACCTTCACTCCACCAGATACATCCCCTTCGTCTACGCTGAACACATTGCCAAAAACTCTCTCTTTTCTATCTCTGCTCTCGTCTCCGGCATCGATTTCTCCACCACAAGTTTCAACAGAAACGTCCTCAGCTTCCTCAGGTACCATCCCATTAACGAATTTGAGTTCTTCTTTGAAAGTATAGGCATTGATTATAAGGAAGTTAGTGGGATTTTACCCTCCAACAAGTTCCTTGTTTTCTGAAGATGAGACGGTTCTAGAGGCTGCTTGTGCGCTTTGCGGATTTGGGTTTCCTTGGAACAAGCTGGGTAAGCTTTATAAAGAGGAAGTTTTGATTTTTGGTGTAAGTTCTATGGAGTTGAAAGTTAAGCCTTTAAGGATTAAAGAATGCGGCTTTAGCAATGTTACTGTGATTGGTATTTGCTTGGCTTTTCCTTATGTGTTGCGTAGGGTTGGTGAATTGGATGGGGAAGTTGGTGCTTTGTTGGATGATTTGAAAATGGTTTTTGTAGATTTTGATTTGGGGATTTGTGTTGAGGCAAATGTGGATTCTTGGTATGAAATTTGTAGGACAATGAGGGTGTTTTATGATCTGGGTTGTGAGAAAGGGAAGATGGGAGAGCTCATGGGTAGAAGTAAGAATCTTTTTCTTCAGCATCCAGAGGAGGTTCTGGTCCAGAAGGTTTAGTATTTTTGTAGATTTTCTGTTAGAAAGGAAGATGTTGGTTTGTTGATTCTTTGAAGCCCGAAGATTTTGGATTTTGATTTGGAAACACAAGTGATTTCAGTTATGCGAATATTGAAATATTTTGGATTGAGCAAAGATGAAAGGGATTCCATTGCTCAAGAGTGCCCTTATGTGTTTTTGGGGGGGGGGAGGAATAAAATGGCTAATTTACCTCATGTGATGAGAGCATTAAATCTACATGAGTGGTTGTTTAATAAGATTAAGGATGGAAATCATCAATTGCTTGATAATTATGCCCTCAGTGATCTTGATGAAGATTTGGATAAGGATTTCAGAGATAGTTTGGAGAGAATTTAGTTTTCAAGAACCCGTCCATACAATGGAGAAGTTGAAATTTTTGCATGGAATTGGGTTTGGAGAGAATTCTTTGACCATGGAGGTTCTAGATCATGTACATGGCACTAGTTGTGAGTTGCAAGAAAGATTTGATTGTCTTCTTGGTACAGGGATTGAGTTCTCAAAACTTTGTAAGATGATAAAGATGAAACCAAAAATTCTAAGCCAGAGTCCAGAAACTGTTGAGCCGAAAGTGAATTTCCTTTGCCATGAAATGGGTGTTTCTTTGGACTACCTTGATTTTTTCCCAGCCTTTCTGTGTTTCAACTTAGAGAACCGGATTAAGCCCTGGTACAGATTCCATAAATGGCTTGCAGAGAAAGGTTTGTGCACTAAAAACTACTCCATTGCAAGCATAGTTGCAACTGGTGAAACGAGTTTTGTAGCACGTCTTTATCTAATTCACCCAGATGCTCCAAAACGATGGTTTGAGTATTTCTCCTACCAGAAACCCAGAAATAGTATCAGAAACCATCAAGCAGAAGGTGAATTTCCTTGCCATGAAATGGTTGTTTCTTTGGACTACCTTGATATATTCCCAGCCTTTGTGTGTTTCAACTTAGAGAACCGGATTAAGCCCTGGTACCGATTCCACAAATGGCTTGCGGAGAAAGGTTTGGGCACTAAAAACTACTCTATTGCAAGCATAGTTGCAGCTGGTTAAAAGAGATTAGTAACTTGTCTTTATCGAATTCATCCAGATGCTCCTAAAGAATGGTTTGAGAATTTCTCCTACCAGAAACCCTGTAATAATAGCTAAGACTAGTAAATTACGTAGGTTTGGTTTTTCCTTTTGGATTGATATCTAATCTTCAAGTGAGATAGATGTCTTTCTTCTCATTTCATTTCTTGCAATTATTAAGACGGTATATAGATTTACTTATCACTCACCAGAGATCAACCAGCCTTGCTACGACCTGTGCATATCACATAACAATTGTAATGGAAAGAGCGATGAGGATATGTGTCCACGAATTATGGGCCCTTTGACCATTTCTAGGCATTTGCTCTTGGTGTCATTCATATTTATAATAGTACTTTGCTGCAGAAAGGTTACATGTGCTGTAGAGCTTTTTTATGAATTTATATGTATCTTGAAATGAGTGAAACTGTCAATTCATTGGGATGACGGTGGAAGAACATCGTACGTCTAAATCCTTTTTTCTTTAAAAGGGTCGCGAGTCGAAAATAAAAAAAAAATATTAGTATTGAAATTTAAATTTTATTTAATATTACTTTTTTAAAAAGAAATATTTAATAAATTTAAAATTCGAATTTTAGTGTTTGTAATTTTTTTTCTATTTTCATAATGCAACCTTTTATTTATAAAATAAAAAAAGAAAAAGAAAAAACATTCAAATATACATGGTTTTGTCCCAAACTTCATAAGGTGTCGATTTTAGTTATATTCAATGAAAATTTTAATTTTTTATCTGAATATGGATGAGATGAATATTACATTGTGGGGTTGGAGATGGGTAGAGGTATTCATGGGCTGGGTTCGATTTGAACTCATGTTTGGTGTTAATAGTTTATATGATTATACAGGTCTGAGTTGACTTAAAATTTTGAGTCTTAAAATTTTTTCAAGTTAGGTCAAAAAATAAATTTTAAATTTATTAATTAAACTTAATTTATATAATAAAAACTTAAAAAAGTATGATTAAATTAAATTTAATGAGATTATATTTAATTCATGTGTGTGTATGTATATATATATATATATATATATATTCAATGAGAATCGGTATTATATTGTGGGATTGGAGATTGATAGAGATATTTATGGGTCAGATCGGGTTAGGGTCAGACTCATACTTGATGTTAATAATTTATATGTTTTTTCATGCTTGACTCGATCTGAAATTTTAGACCTTAAAATTTTTTCAAGTCTAACTAAAAATAAATTCAAATCCACCAATTAAACTTAATTTATATAATAAAAAATTAAAAATATAATTAAATTAAGTTTAATGAGATTATATTTAATTCACATATATATAAATTAAAAATAAAAATTAAGTTTAATAAAATATATAATTCTTATTTTAAATTTTTATATAAATGTGAATTAATTTATATATAATTCACATATATATAAAAAATTAAATATATGTGAATTTGAATTGAGACGGGTCGAGCTTAGGTTTTAAATATTTTGTTCAAAGTTCAATCCTAAATTTAAATAAACCTAAAAATTATCCTAAAATTCATTTAACGAGTTTTTATTTTTTGTTTAAATTCTCTCAAAACTTGGGCAAACTTTCAGGCTTGGGTGAGTAACCCAAACTTTAAACAGGTCTAGGAGTGAATATAATTTTAAATTTTTTATTGAATATGTGAATTGAGAAGTGTAATATAGCACTACCCTACCTATATACTAAATATATATTTAGTAAATAAATTTTTTATTAAATAATATAAATTATTTTTTAAATTAATTATAATTAATATATATTTTATTTAAAATATATTAATATATTTATAAAAAAATTTACATAAATATGTAAGATAAGCATTAAAAAAATTAAAAAATACATTTTGATTTTTATTGCTTTAAAAAATTATGGATACGAAAATTACACTTGCCTATTAAATATCTGTAAAAATGAAAATAAAAATATATTTAAAATATCTGTTAAATATGAATATAAAAATAAATGTAATATAAAAATCTAAAAATGAGATCAAAAAAAAATTCATCACTCCATTCATTACTCATTCGTGTTCTTACGGTTTCATATGGTTAGTACATATGTTTGCCTATAAAAGGGAATAATACCCTTAATAGGTAACAAGTTATTTTCTTTTTTTAGTATTTGTGGGGAAAATATGGCTATTTCCTTTTGTTTCTTTTTTCAGGATTCTTTCCAATTTTAATTTGCATGACATGCTTGATTTTGTATGGCAGATAGCTATGATTTTGGGTATCTTTGATCCTCCTATCCAATAACTGAATGCTAAAATTGGTAATCCTCTTTGTTATTTCCTTTTTTTTTTCAAATGAACATTTTTTTCTTATTTTCCATCATTTTCCTTTTTTTTTTCCTTATGGATCTTTGATATGCATTTTTTAATAGCAATTTATTTTATTGTTAGTACTATTTATAGTTTTATTAGAACATTTTTGGCTGTAATAATATTAAAATTTTTATTTTTCAAATCTTGAATTAGAATTAAACTAATCATTTTTATAGGATGTACTATTATTTAATCTTTTAATTAAAATGCTTATAGTTAGAGTAAAAAAAATTATTTTGTAATTGAGATTTTCATATATTAAAATCTAATTCTTGAAATTAAGAATTCGAGCAACAAATAACACTATTAAAATTTACATGAACATGAAAAAGAATTGTTAGGGGTGTTTATTTGATCAGTTTAATTAATTTTAAACTGAATTATCTAAAATCAAATAAACTAAATTATGTTATTTTATTTTAATTAACCAAATTGAATTTTTAATTTTAAAAATTAACTGACCAAAATTAATTTAATTAATTTTGTTAATTTTTTAATTAACTAAATAATAAAATACATTAAGTTAAATTATATTTTAAATTCTTATTTTCTCATATATGAAATAAGTTAAATAAAATTATCCAATAAAAATATTCAAATATCAAAATATTAAATTAAAAACTCTAATAACTTGAAATGAAATTAACAAATTCATATATTTTTAGTTATATATATTTTTTACAATATTTCGATTCATTCGATTTTTGAACCGAATTAATTTAAAATCAAATTTTTTAAAAATTATTTTTGATAACCGATTGAAATTAATTCGATGACCGATCGATTAACTGAATTAAATAAATTTGATCAATTAATTCAATTAAAATTGAATTATAAACACCCTTATGAAGTATATAAAATAATTACTTTATGTCAATATATATTCTTTCTATTTAAATTATGTTATATAATCATATTATTGAAAAGAGTTAATTATTTATTATGTATCTATATGATAATTAAATAATAACTATTAATTTTAATAAATAAATAAATAAATAAAATTTTTTAATAATATAATTATATAATATGATTTAAATAAAAAAATTTTATATTAATACGACATAAGTATTTCATTAAATCTTTTTTGGGCAAACATAAGCACACAATTTTGACTAACACCCACAGTGAATGATTAACGGACATAATGAGGATAAAAAGACTAGATTCTCAAGAAATAATTTTATTTTTTAAAATTTTATTTTAAATTAAAAATAATTATTATTTTGATATAAAAATAATAATATTAATTTTCAATTATTTGTTAACTTTATAAATACCAAATATATTATAAAATTTATTATATATCAATTTTAATCTAATGTCTATAATAATAATAATTTTATTGTATTATATTTTATCTCATCATCACTGTTACGTTTATATTCAAATATATATCTCATTATTAATTTTAATCTTATTATTATAATATATAATCTCATAATTATAATAATTAATTTTATCGTTATTATTATTTTTAATTTAATCAAAATTAATTTTATCGTTTATTCAAATGAAAGCAATTAATACTTTTATCTTCTTTATTTTATATCTATCAAAACACAAGAAAATGATTTTATGCTAAACTTAAAACTCGTAATTCAAAGATTTTAAATTCAAATATTAGGGTAAAAAATATAGATTAAGAGTGAAACTCTTTTTGTATAGATAATGATATAAGAAAACCTAAGTTATTTTATAAAATAAAAAACTTGTATAATTTATTGATAAAGTATTGAATTATTCATTTGGATCATACAACTAATTTTAAAAAATATCATTAAAAAATTTCGACGTTCAAACTTAACTCTTGCTTTTTTTTTTTTCTCAAAATATGATTTTTTTTTTTTGAAAAAAACCTCTATCAAAACTGAGTTTTCTCTCCTATAAACTACATTCAGCAAATGTAACATGACATTTTCAATCAAATATTCAAATTGAGGAAGTCAATATATATACATACGATTAACTTATATAATATAAAATTAAAAATTCTATATAATTTATAAATTTGAAAAATTAAAAGTGAAAAATATGTTAAAAATAAAGAAAAAGAATAATGAAATAATTTGATTTAAAAATAATTTTGACAAAAAAAAAAGTGAATAACAAAAAATGAGTTGGAAATAGAATCTCTAGAAAACCTTTGTTCCCTTCCATTTGAGTTCAGTGAGTATCATAATATAACAGCTCCTTTTCGCTGCTTTTCTCTCTTCACTTTTGTCTTTCATCACTTTCATGGCTTAAGATTACTCTCTGTCAGCTGTCCTTTAGTCAAATCCTCCTTTGACCCACAAAACAACCACCCTTGTTTGGGTTTGGGTTTTGTTTTTTCTCTGTTTTTATCCATCAATAGTGTATCATTCAATCCCAGAAACAAGAAACAACTGAAACGAGAGCAGAACTGCAAGCCCCATGTCTTCTTCTCCGACTTTGAAATCTCAACCTCTGCATAACTTTCCATTGCGTGGCCTTAAATGGGGGATGAACCACACCCACAACCACCACCACCGCCTTCGGAGACACTCCAATTCCTCCCACAAATCTCCTCAGCGCGGCGGTTCTGATTCTGAGTCTGATAATCATCCAAAGAACGGAGCTTCTTCAAGTTCTTCACCTGATCATAGGGCTGAACAACCGGAGAAGAAGGTCATCAATGGTTCTGATGTTTCGGTTGATCCATCGAACGGTAAATCGAAGATCTGTATACGTCTTCGATGGAACAATCACAGGTTTGTTGATGAGGTTGCGGATACAGGAGATGAGAACTTGGATGATGAATTCGTTGACGGATTGGTTCCCAAGACGTGGAATCTGAGGCCTAGGAAGCCAATTTCTAAGCCGCCGAATCAAAACGGCGGCGCACTGAAGATCGGAACCTCGGCGGACGAGAACAAAACGCATAGGCCGGAATCGACCCGGTCCAGGAATGTGACCGAGTCGAAGGCGGCTGAGAAGAAGGAGAAGAACCAGAAGCTCTCGATTTCGCTTACTGCAGAAGAAATTTATGATGATATCTATGCCATGACTGGGTCAAGGGCCTCTAGAAAGCCAAAGAAGCGAGCCAAGCATGTTCAGACAGAACTCGATGTAAGGTTTTGAATTCCTTCATTATCCCATCTCTAGATATTTGGGTTTTTTCTAATCCTTTGTGAATCTTTTACAGCGTCTGTATCCAGGGTTGTGGTTAGCTTCGATAACGCCTGATTACTACACAGTCCCGGCGGCTCCTATAAAGGTCTGATGCTTTGCCTTTCCAAAAGCGTAATCTTTTTAAGTACTTGTTCAAGTGGTTTTGAGTAAAGGTTTGATTTTGGTGATTGCAGGATTAGATGGGAGAGCTGCTAAACATGAATGACTGCTAAACTTTTTTTGCAGCTGTAGAATAAGCTCTTAGAGAAGAAAGGGTAATAAATTTATGTTGTTTTCGTGCCTTTTTTGTCGAATCCGTGACAAGGTTAGACGGATGGCGGGATACAGTTACATTAAAAATTTTTTTATGAGTAGTCACAGATTGTAACTTTGACTTATCAGTTTAATAAATAGGGTTTTAACCGTTTCGGTTTATGTAAAAGGACATTGTTTTTCAGGTGATCTTTGGTCCTTAGGTTATTGGTACTTGTTAGTTGTTCATGGAACTGGTTTTGATATAAGAGCATAACAACTGTTTATTGATCCAGAAAGTTTGGGATGTATACTTCTGTTTGATGTGCTTGTTTTTCTTTCTTCTTTTGTTCTTTCTAATATGCATGAGTCGGATAAAAAGTAGTCAGTTTACTTCCAGTTGATTGATTTAAGAAACGTGTCTGTAATTAACGGATTAAGTAGTTATGCACATGGTAGTATAGATGGATTAAGTAGACATGAGCACGTGTTAGTAATTAACAGGTTGAGTAGTTCTGATCACGTGTTAGTAATTAACGGATTTAGTAGTTGCTACTGTCCGTTATGGTAAGATGTCCGTATTTTAACAGGCAATGCAAAGTGCTGGATGAGAATATAATTTAAGGAATCCATATATGGTTGGGACGTAATTATATGATTGATTTGCAACTATGGAATCTATATGTTCTTTGTCGCTTCTTAAATTTACACTTGTTCAAGCAAAGATGGTAGTTTACCGGCTTCAATTTATATAGGAATGTCTCATTATTTAATGAAAGTAAGTAGTTTTATACGTTCTTTTTATTCTATCTCTAGATAGCGTGCGTGACAAACACGCATCACTGACCATTCAAGCCAAATGGGTTGGAAGACACCCTTATAAGTGGCTTGCATGCATTGTATCTTTACATTCTTACATCCTATTGGAAAGCAAACTCTGAGATGAAAATAGGTTAGTTCACCGGCTCTTGATTGGTTTGAGATGAAGTTCAACTGTTAAATGAATCAAAAAGTTTTGTTTTGTGCATCTTTCTTGTTTGAGGAGATTGTGAGCTAGATGTATCATCATTATTTCTAGAAGACATTTGATTGATCAGCAGGACTTACGTGTCAGAAGCTGTGCATTGTGTGATTGAGTTACATCTTTATCACTTAGTTAATTCTTGCTTTGGAAATTGCATTTGTCAAAAGTAACAGCGGTCAGTTTATCACTATTGAATATATTTAAGAAAACTGCCAATCTCTATTGGATTAATTAGTTTGCTTGTTTATCTCCCCAAGTTGGAAGTGTTTGAGTGAATAGATGCAGCAGCAACTGTTTATGCACAGATGTATGGAAGCCAGCAAGTGAAATAATCAGGCTCATAGTCTTATGAAAATATCGGATTTAATTTACCTAAGTAGTTTTTCCCAGTTTTCCTTTCCTGTTTGAAGTGTATTAGGGATTTGTCTGTGTTATTTTCAATGGCAAGATGTGAATGACTGAATAGGATGGAATTTCATGGAAAATATCAGCGTTAGAGCCTAAAGAGTTGGGTTAAACTACTGTGATTGACCTCCATGCTTTATATGTGTGAGTGTTTGTGTGTGTTTTCCCTCTGAAGAAAAAAACTGCTCTCGGTCACCTCACGACAAGCTTCAGTTTTACTGAAGTATTTGTATTGCTTATTATTAGAAATATTGCAATTAGAGAGACTATGAAGGAATTAATTTTAGGTTTGGCTGTTGAATTTTCTTGTCATTGCCATTATGACTGCATCAATATGCGTATGCTAGTCAAACTAGAAAAACTAAGTTCTCCTACTAGAGTCTTATCTCTGTCATACAAATGACTCTAGCAATGTGATGTGCGACTAGTATTACATGTTTATCATGCCAATTAGATCGTCGGAAGAACTAATCATCTTTATATTTGACATTTTGACACTTTTTTTGGTTAACCACATTACTTTATGTACATAAATTGTTTTGATTAAAGACGCATGCATGTCAACATTCTTTGATTTTGAGAAGGCATATATAGTATATAAATAATTGCTGAATTATAGCATATGCAGTGAATGGTAAAAGCATATATGGTAGCCTTAGCATTCACAATTGGAGGTTTTTTATATATTTGGAAACTCTATAAATCTCAAATCTTGATATAATCATGAAGGGTTGCTAAGGCTACTATATATGAGAGGAAAAAAAAAAAAAAAGAGGCTTTCTCTTGCAAAATATGAAATTTCATGGTGCACAATGGCTATTCCTTAAACGCTCCTTTCTTTTGTTGTCTGATTAACAGAGAAAAACAGAGGAGAAACAAAGAAGCTTTCTTTTGCTGCCATTTACCAGGTAATCCCTTACCTTAACCCATACGTACACGTTTATTTACATACGAATTTACATATCTAAGCTTGTTTATGTATGAAGATATCATGTACTTGTACTTTTAGTTTAGCTAACTGACCTGCAAAAGCTGGAGCTTTTAAAGTTTCTTTGGGTTCCTGAGAGTAAAAATAGAGGTGGAATGAAGAAATGAAAAGCTTTTGAGACTCGGGACATCAAAAACTTAAAACCTTAGTATTGCAACATGGCGGTGATCAACCACCTATTATCCGAACGGTCCAGACAGATGAAAAATGTGGTACTAAGGAGATTTGCGAACAGGTGACCAATTATTAGAATGGTGCTGTTACTGTGGCAATTGTTTCAGAAGAGGCTGCAAATGATTCTGCATTCAATGGACTGATGCTAGCTATTTTTCATCATTCGGCAATTCCTTGTTTCTTTCAGTGTACATGCTGCTCAATGAATGTACTTGTAATTTTGTGATTCAGTCAGTTGTTCTAAAAGCCAACAAATTTATCTTGCATTGTACATGTAGATTTTCTTATTGTTGCCAAAAGAGGATTCGCAACTGTTGAGAAGCTATTTATGATACATGTTCATAATCTTACAGTCCAACGTAGTAATACCTGTTTTTTTCTTTATATTGGGGATGAAGGTTGGAGTTGTTTGGACTCGAATCCAAATCTTACAACATATCATTACTCCTAGTTCCGCCCCGGAAGAAATCTCTTATCAAAACCCAAAATTACTAGTCTTGATAATGTTTATTTCTTACCTTACACCTAAGTTCTGGATTTTCATTTCCTAGAACTTTTGCAAAGATGGATGTGCCCGAACATGGCAGTGGGCCTGTCGGGCAGCCATTTCTTGAACCAGTGAGAAATGGCAGATCTGGTGCAAGGAAAGAAAATAATCTTTGGGGCTGTAGGATCTAATGAAAAGATCGGTTTGGATCACATCATTATCTAATGAAAACATAGGCTTCGTTCATCACTTTCATTTTCTCAACCCCCATTGTTATAGCAAACAAAACAGATACATCCATCCATGACAATGACCTTTTAGGATGGAGCAATATATATATATAAATATATATATATATATGTATGTATGTTTGTATGTACGTATATATGTATATATACAGGCCATGGCAGAGGCAGCCCATCAACCTCATTTTGAGGCTGAGAAACTTGGTAGAAAGCAAACCCTAGGACAAATTTACAAGAAACAAAATTACAAGAACACAAATTTAAATCAAAATGCAAATTGCTTAATCCAGAGACAAAAAAATCCAATCATACAATAATAAAATAAAAAGATCTCGCCAAGAGTTGTGTGATCTGTCGTTAGAATACCAAATTTTTAGTTTTAACAATTAGATAAAAAAAAATCTATTTCCTAATTTTTTTATTTATGGAAATTATCTAGTTCCTCCTAGAGGCATTTGTTTTGTTGGATTCAAACTTCTTGCACCAGAGCGGCCTGCCACCAATCATGAACTTGGTATGCTTTTTTCCGCAATGGGTTACCGCCATTGGAATATAAGATGCCTTGAAAACAACCTTCCCAAACTGTGGTGTCACAATCTCTCCATAACTCTTCGGCTGTGGCCAATGCACGTATATTCTCTCCAAGCAATCCCCATATTTGCTGCCACATTCCACACCCAACATATCATTCATTTTTCATAGTTTGGGACATGGGAATTTTAGAAAATAGATCATGATGATGATTATTAGTTTCATAAATGCTCACATATGCTTACCTGATAAAGAATCTGGCAATTTGGTGCTCTGATATAGGGTGTCCATTGGAGAATGTTATGAACAAGCATCGATCTTCCTCAGGAGCGCCATTGACCTTCGGAGACCACTCCTTAGCATAAGGATTCAGTTGTTTGGTTCGAACCATTATTGCATTTGGTTGATCAGTCACGTAATAATTTCCATTGGATGGTGGCTTGACAACTTTTTTACCAGTCCAACCTCCAGGCGTGGTTTCTGCAAAAGACCTAGACCAGTATGGTGCATCCATGAATGGATAGAAACTTAATATGGAGGCAGCGTACGTGAGAACAATGAGAGGAGTGAGTGAGGGTATTTATAACAGCAACAAGTGAAGAGCATTGCGATGGTTCGGTAACGTTGGCTTCAAATGGAAAGATATTATTGAAGAGGGTGTTTTCGAGTGGGCACGACGCTTCCACTAAGGCAAAGATTCATGTTGCATGGACCCTCTCCCAAGTTCCATTTCATATGATTAGAAGTCAAATGCACATTTCATATGATTGAATTTGATTGTATACAATCATATGGTTAGTGTCTTTCCTTTTAATCCTTTTAAAGTAATTGACCGAAGGCGATTTGGCGCTGATAATAAATTACTTAATTTAGAATATATTTTATGGTGATAATTTGATTGTTGATGAATCATGCATTGGTGTCGAACTTGGAGTTTAATTCATCAATTAATTCATATAATTATTTTTAAAAAATGAGATTTAAATCTTACCATTTATAATTTTTTTTTTATATCTACGTTGTATCATGTTCTTTTGTATAAAAAAATCATGCATTAGTGTAAGATAGTCCACTATCAAAGAGTAATTACTAAAGTATAAAACTTGCAAAGATAAATCAATTGAATAAAAACACAATAATTTCATGCTAATTCAAGTTTGAGCAGTCTCTCTTCGCATGTATAGTTGATGGAGCATATTTAGGGGCAGGTATGGTCATTGGCCCCCCAAAAAATTTTAACGCCCTTATATATATTTTACTTTTTCCCATGAAACTTATTTGATCTTCGTGTCCCGTTAAACTTATTATCTATTCACCCTTCTTCCGATACCTGGCTTCGCCTCTGATAATTGCATTCAAGAACAGCTTGGTAAATTAAAGCTAGGTAAGCAAGAGCTGTCTTGTTATTCATTATGTTAAGATGTAATAAGCTGGCAAATTGACAGATAAATCTAAGTTCACAATGGCATACATATGTGGCAAGACAATAATGGAGAAACTTAGTCATATAAATTACAATAATTTGAGCTTCGACGACCAATGTATCATTCATGATAACGACTCCCTTCGGTTTTTTCATATAATAAGCCGTCAATGCCAAAAGTGCAGTGTGCCCAACAATAAGAAGTAACAGCATTCAATGTTTTTTCTCGGTGAATATAGCAGATTGGAGAAAGGATTGTATGAAACAGTTACTCCGTGTAACATATGTTTTTTTCATTTAAAGGACGTCAGGTAATCATATTTTTTAAAAAAATCAATCATTTATTACACATTATATGCATGAATCTATTAATATTCACCATTCAATTATTAGAAGGATGTATAATAAATTGTTGATTTTTTTTAATAATGTGATTATATGATATAATTTAAATGAAAGTGATATGTGCTTACATGAAATAACAATTTCATATAATTCTTTCTCTAGCAGCTTGATACCATGTTTCTGGGAAGTTATTATCTTTGTGGTTATGTTAGCATTTTTTTAAACTAATCTACCTTATATTACATGGCTAAAAAAAACATTATGCGCATAAATTTCTTCAAACATACTACTTCAAGTGCTAACTCCAATAACATACCGGCTGAAGATCAATTGACATATTAAATTAGCATTTTTTGTCTTTAACTTCATCCCCATCATTTTGTGTTATTTTATCACAGTTTGTTCAACTTTTTTTTTTTTGGTTGCAAAGGAAGGCTAGTGTCCTTACAAGGGGGAGGGGGGATGACGGGGTCGAACCCACATCTACATGACTTTCAACCCGTCTCTTAACCACTAGGCTAAGAGGGGAAAGTCATTTGTTCAACTATTAATCTATATGTTCAGATGCTATATTTGATATTAAACTAGTACAAAGTTTTAGTCTTTTAGATGCAATTTGGTTGCTTGGAATGCATGCTTCTTTGAACTGTTAAGCCTTGGTTGGTTTGATAATGAAAGAGGTTGCTCTATAGTTGCATTAACAGCACGATGGGCCAACCAATCTTCAGCTCAGTGTCACCTATGTTGACACTATGCATGACGAGAATTAGGTTTCCAATGTTTCCTTAGGAATTTGGCCAATTAACCCAAAAGGAAAAGACAGAAATCAAAATGAAAACTACACTAGAAGACCTTATGGTTAACAGCTATACGCTCTAACCAACTAAGCTATTCCAGCTTGTTATCGAATGTTACAACATACCATTAATTGTCTAATCTATTCATGTTTTATGATACTTTAGTTGATGAGAATTAATTCTCAGATGCTAGCCTCTACACTTGCTTGTACAATTATGTAAAGTAGAAGTTGAAAATAAGGGGAGCAAACCAACGGACGGTTGGCTTAAGTGTTCATTGCATAGATTTGAATCCGTTGAAAGGTTGTGGGAAGGTAATTTCTCATAAATTCATTAGACTCGATATAAATAAAACTATTTGAACCCATTCAAAGAGGGGATGTATTAAATGAAATCCAAAAACCTTTTATCCCCAAAAAAAAAGGGAGGAAAAAAGAGAAACTGTTGAGAATGAAGAGAAATTAAATACATGATTAGTCTTATAAAAAATGTTAACATGATGATATATTGTTGTATGAATTTACAACAATACAAAAAGTGTTTATGATATGTTGTTGTATGAATTAAAGAAGTTGAAGTTTTACTTTGATCAATTCTTGTGAATGATTAAAAGTAAGTTTATAAGAGAACGAGAATAGCAAGAGAAAATGACAAGTAAAGAGATCATGCTCATGGTGAAAAATGATGAGCCAACTGCCTTTAAAAACAAACTTCCCGCAGGGTTATTACCAATGAACCGTTGGTTCAGTGATACAGGAATTAGCTCTCGAGTTAAGGGTCTCGAATTCGAACTATGGTCGTAATAAAAAAATCTTATTAC